AGCCCAACTGGTCTGTGCATACTGCCTCACGTACAACTTGAGTCGACTAAATGGACGCGTGAAAGGTCACAAAAGCCCGTGAGAAGCGGAGATCTTTCCTTTTCACCATTTGCGCGCTCAGCTTACAGACCGCGCGAGGGGTATCTTCCTACCTGAGCTGTTTAGCTGCCTGTGGTGATCACTTGTACGCGGAGTCATCGCTCATGGACCAGCAGCTGATGGAGATTCGCAAGCGCAAAAATGAGGAGTACCTGAAGCGCAAGGAGGAGGGCGAGAAGGAGGCCAAGGCCGCCAAGACCACAGCCGACGCCACCGCACCCGCCGTGAGTGCATCGGCATCTGCTGCAGCGGCCGCAGCGCCGGCAGGTCCCTCCCAGCCCACCGCCATGGACCTGGATGCCTTCATGACGGACGAGGAGCGTCGCCGCAAGCGCCAGGAGGATGCCGACCATGCCCTGGCGATGCAGCTGATGAGGGAGATCAACGCTGGGGCGGACCGCACCCATCAGCAGCAGCAGCAGCAGGCCCATCCCGCCCCGCCCAGCGACAACCATTCATCGCATCTGCCCCTGGCCAACCCCAGCAGCACACGCGCCAGCCATCAGGTGCACGAGACGCTGCATCGCGGGTGGCGGTGGGTGTGGCATGACGGCGGCCGGCCTGAGCATGAGTTCTCGGAGGAGGAGGTCAAGGCCATCAAGGCCAGAGGCGAGGCCATTCTGCGCGACTGTGGCGAGAAGCTCAAGCAGCCCAGGGCCAAGATGGGGGTGATTCGCAAGGAGACCCTCGAGCAACTGACGCAGTTGGCCATCGAAACCAAGTTTGTCAGTGGCAAGTGGCTCCTCTACTTCGGTGGGTGAGAAGGAAAGACAGAAGCAAGGGAAGGAAGGCCTCTTTGCAATGCATTGATGTTACTTACTGGGTCTTGTTGGTTGTGTTGCCGTCCGTCCGTGTGATGCTGATGCATGCATTGCAATGCAGGTGACGACATGATAGATGAGGCGTGGCGTCGTGTGGCCTTGGCGACCAGCAAGGGGCAGCTGGGCAACTGCTCCAAGTGCGCCCTGACGCCCAGCGGCCCCATGTACGTCATCTGTGTGTACAGTCCCGACTTCCGCGACCGGCAGGAGGTCAAGCGCGTCCTCAACGGCCTCCGCAAGATCGGTGTGGCGGCCGGCGGGACGCCTGGCGATGACCAGCAGCAGCAGCAGCAGCAGCAGAAGGGCGGCGGTGGTGGTGAGGGGTTCCGGGGCAACAAACGAGTCCACTATAAGCTCGATCTGCTCACGTACGTACAGCAGCCAGCCAGCAGGAACCCATGCACCGCATATACATGTACCCACTCACGTGCTGTGCTGTGCTGTGCTTTGTGCGCCCTTCCACTCTCTCTGTGCGCTGCGCATGTGTGTGGATTGGTTGGTTGATCAGGATTTTGGATGTGTATTCTGGCATCACAGGCACGTGGGCGGATCTGCGCCTGTCGCCCGTGACGCAGTACAGCTCCAAGGACTTCACAGACGAGGAGTAGCTAGCTACAGACAGACAGACAGACAGACAGACATGACAGATGCATGGAGAGACAGATCAGACAGAGGGGAGATCGACCGACGGCCGACCGGCCAACCGACCAGTGGGGAAATGGTTGTTGACTAGCCGAGTGGCGGTGTCTGGTAGCAGCTTGGCGTGCGTGTGTGCGCGCGGTTGGGCGGGTGGATGGGTGAGTGTACAGAAAGAAAGTGGGTGGTGAGATCTCAGCCACCCACAGACGGTTCCTGCTAACTTGTGCATGATGCATGGCATTGCATGCATGTTGAGTGATGGAATCAATGAATGAATGAATGAATGGGTGAATGGAAGAATTCGCATCCATATATCGACTTCAACTCACTTGCTCGAGGCTCACGAGGTGCTCACACGAGACTCGGAGATCGTCGGGCCCCCACAAGCCCCCCATAAGATACCATCAGAAGAACGTCGGTTTGGCCCGTTCGGCGTGCTGTGCCTCCCTGTCGCACAGCAGACCCTCATGTTTGGCTGGCGGTCGAAGATACTAGTACTCCAAACATACTAGGGAGAATCATTTGAGACGTTGAATTTGTGGTCATGATGGGTTCCTGGAACCTGCGGGAGATGGAGAGCCGTGCGAGGGGACCTGCGGCAGATAGAGAAGGCGATGAGGATTCGTCCCTCGAAGAAGGTACAAGCAGGCAGTTATGGAGCCATACACACATCTTACATCTGTGTGTTGATGCATTTCTTTGCGCGGCTGTCAGGCACAGCTGATGTGCGGACGGCGGCGCCTGTGCTTCGCCCATCTGTGGTTGAAGACAGGGCCTTCTGCTTCGTGTTTGCCCGACACGTGCTGGACAAGGATCTCTTCTGCGATACATTCTCGAGCGGAGTGGGACCCTTTCTCGAGCGACACAGCGGCTGCCTGGATGAGGAGGAGTTCGCACTGCATCTGCAGTACTTGGTATGGCAGACAGATCTTGACAGACAGATCTGCTTGGGTTGGATGCTTCTGCACTGAATCTGCAGTGGCTGAACGGCGCTCCAGGCGATGCTGCCATCGATGCCGAGTTGGCAGCTGCCACTGCAGCGTATCCCAACCCAGATTCTGAGCCGCCGCTTTCCCCATCTATCCTTTCTCTCCTGGCCATGCCCCTCGTGGTGCCGTTGTGCGCTCCATGGCTGTTCTGTCTGGTTGCTGTGCCCTTGGTTGGGCCGACACTCCTTGAGTTTCTCAGCACAATGTCCAATCAAGCTACATGGGCGGTACGACACATATCGATGAAAATGCACATGCCACAAAAAGCCACATATGCTGTCATTCCTTGTACAGCTGGATCTTCATTCCCGTGAGTATATCGGTGCCTTCCCTTTCACTCGCATGCACCGGCCCATCGCCGTCCTCTTCGCCTTCCAAATCGCCTCTCCGCCCAGTAACTCTCAGTCGAGCACCCTGCCTGCAGCCCCCGATTTGCCTGTGATGGTGACGGCGCTTTACGGGGCTGCATATCGAAGGCTCTATGCCATTCTAGAGCTGTGGGTGCAGCTTGGTGAGGTGCTTCGATACAAGGCCAGGAAGCGGCATGACAGGCTCTTCGGCGGGCCTCGCCCCTTTCATGGCAATCTGCCGTTTTTCATCTTCGACGTCGACCTGATGCGCCTGGCAATGGGAGAGCAGCAAGACAGCCAATCTCCCTTTGCGTTCCTGCTGACTGTCGAGCAACCGAGGCGGAGGGGGTCCGTCTTGCCACAGCACGTGCACCTTGAGAGTCGCCGTTTCCCTTGCGACGTTGACTCGTTCTGTCTCACCCGAGAGTATCAAGGCTGGCGGAGACGGCAGCATCAGCTGGTGGCATATTCGTATTCCGTGGACGAGACCCAGCCGGTGTCGAGCCCCGCGGATGGCTCTCCTGTCCTGGTGAAGGCGCGTGGGCGTGTCTCGGCAGCGAGACGCTCGTCGCAGGGATCGTCCATTCAGTTTGAGAGACCCCAGCAGCCAACCACGAAGCGGAGAAGCACTGCAGGCGCTGCACAAGAAACAATACGCCCGTTGTCGCCTTCCATCTTCTTCCCGGCCGCTTCACAAGACACAAGACGCAGCTCCGCCAAGCAGATCTCGGCACGCTTGACCCTGACGACCCCCTCTCAATTTCCCTCTTTGGCAGCAAATCTGATCGAGAAGGAAGAAGAATCAGAGGATGAGCACGACGAGCAGTCGGAGAGCTTCAGCCCTCGCACACCGACAGGCGAGGACAGGCCGGTCTTAACCACCCGCCTCCCGCCCCAAGATCGACGGCCGCCTTCCTATGAAAACTTCACGTTCGAGTCCTCTTCTGACTACCAATATTATTCGGGCAGTGAAGAGACGGGCAGTGAAGAGTCACCCACTGCAGGGCGTCAAGCAGACTACGAATAACCACGAGGCCGCACTCCTGAGATGAGGCTGGCAGAGATCATGCATATGGCCAAGCCGCCGACAACTCACAGTGAGGACGAGGATGCTTCAGTTGGGGAGCTATGGCTGGAGATCCCCATACCAAACGATGAGTCGCAGGACGACGGCAGCTGCACTGAGGGGTCTGACGAAAGTGAGGACGATGACAGCAACGGCTATGCAGAGTATGCCGCTCACAAGTATCATCATTTCACAAAGGATCCTGCCGAAGACGAGCTCAACCTCACTCTACCCCGCAAGAAGAGAAAGAGACGTATCATTTCTGAGGTCGTGATTGACATTGATGGCCCGCATGTGAAGGTCTCGAGGACAAGAAGAGTATCAGCCTTAACAAGACAGCACAGATACATGTACATCCGCTCTTCTCCCATTCCCTTCGGAGACGCACAACGACTTCAGCAGCTACAGCCGCCAAGCCAGCCACCTGTGTCTCTGCCAGCTGCTCATGAGAACTCAGCAACTCAAAGAGCATCGATTCCTACAGGCGTCAGAGGCTCGGTGCGGGAGATTGGAAAGAGACTCAGTTCGATGATACGGGGCTGGTTCAGCGGTCATCTGTTCCCCAAGCAGAGCCAGCAGAGGGTGAGCAACTATATGGTTGACGTGTCATCGAGTGCGGCTCCATCGAAGCGGGGAGAATCGAGGAGGACGACAAACACATCTGGAGACATGAAGAACAAGGCCATCAGCGGGCTGGCAGATAGGATCAGGAAGATGACGGCCCTTCGCCGCACGGTCAAGGTGGGTAGCCTTTCGACGGGCAAGGCTACCCAGGCTGAGCTGGCTGCACAGGACACTCTGGCGTTGATCAAGCATGCACGAGGGTGTCATGAAGTGTTGACATCGGTCAACACGAAGAACCAGGGCCTTAGTCGACTAATCGATCAACTAGCCGCCGCGGCCTATGACTACCAAAAAGAGCTGGTACGCACAACAAGGTAATATGTCTTGTCCTGTTTTCGTCGATGGATGATTTTTCTACCTCTCATCAGCTGAGGTCCGCGCAAAGGCGGTTGAAGCGGCGCTCACGCGTTGGGACGGCCAGAAGGCTGAAAAAGTCAACCACTCCTCAAAACCGCCGTCCCGCTATCATGAATCTCCGGGCAAAGCGCAGGACGGCCGCCGGTTTCTCAGACATTTTCAGTGACAAATCACCAGGGGACTCACAGATTGAGCTCGCCTCGGTGTTTGGCTTGAAAATGACGGACAAAGCGAGGCAATGGTAAGCTGGCCAAAGGTCATTTTTTCCACACCTGCAGCTCCTTCTGTTTCCTCAGGTGCTTCAAAGTGCTCATCGCTCGCTGGTGGTGAAGAAGAAGAAGAAAAAAACTTTCTTGGCTGTTGCTCTATTGCTCGTAGTGTCTGTTTTCCTTTGCTGTCGTGTCCCTAGGGATTTCTTCATTTTGTCGTGCTTCGCCCTGGATCTTCTGTGTGTCCTCACCCAAAACCCATTCGACCTCCAAAGGCGCTTTGCCATCAACGCGATCTTCCTCTTCTTTCTCACCGTCAAGATATGTCTCGAGGTTGTCAGCCTCGGCCTTCTGGGCGAAAAGGGAGGCTTTTTTCGCAGAGCAGACGAGATGCCGTTCTTTGCCGCGTACCTTGTCTCCGTCGTTGAGTTGGTGCTGGCATGCATCGTGTACAATTTCGCCTCGAGACTATCTCTGGAGGGAGAGGACTTGCATCGCATGAGCCTCATGGACTGGAAAGAGAGAGCAGCTGACACAGATGAAAGCCATGACGCCCTCTGGCGGACGATCCTTATGTACGTGAGCAATTGAATGTACGGCACGCTTGAGACAATAAGTGAGCTGGTGTTTGTTGATGTCGATAGGCTTTCCCCCGTGTGGATGAGTTTTCGTGTGCTGCTCAACTGGCGACCTTTCATGCTCTCTATCTACATCCCTCATACGCGGATGATTGTGGCTTGTGTTGGAACCTCTACAGCACAACTGTGGAAAGTCCTTCTTCTCTCCCTCATGATGTTCGTCGTATTTGGGTATGAAAAGATGTCCAATATTTGTTCACAACGTCCACTCTTCGTCATCTACGCCCTCAGGATCATAGGCATCCACATGTTCAGCGGACTCTTGTTGCACAGGTGAGACTGACGCGTATTAGAGGAACATAAATGATATATATGCTCAAGGGCAATGGAATCAGCGACGCGCGCTACCTTCTTTGGTGTCTTGCTGCAGGTGCAAGGCAACGACTAGCTATGAGTTGACACCCAACGGTTTTACCCCTCTTGGCACCATCAACTTCCCAGCCATATTTGACTTGCCTCCTATTCGAGTGACTGTTGAAGACGGCGAGTGGACCACCGTTGTCGACAGGGACTCCGAGATCGCTGGTCGGCAATTGTGTCATTTCCGTTCACCTTTCCAACATTTCCAATACCTTTTTTCGCTTCAGACGACTTCGTTTGGCGATCACTGCAGATGGCGCCAGACTTTTCGCTCTTTGAGATGCTTTGCGCCATAACGGACGCAGCAAACGAGACATTGACTGGAAAAGGGCGAGTCCGCATGAAGGGACCTGTCAAGAATGAGGAAACCAACACGTCTGAGGTGATGATGTTTCTCCGGGAGTCTTCTTCTTTCCTGAACAACATTCGATTTCCCGATCCATTCCTCGCTGCCGAGCAAGCAGCTGCCGACATCGCTGCTGAAGCTTCTTTCTATTACCCTCAGTCCCTTGACCAGTTTGCGACGCTTAACGCTGGCATCTGGCTGTCGAGAGGGAGAATGTTTGCCTACAATGGAACCGAGACAGAGCAACTTCCCTCTCCAATGTCTCGTTTCTTCGTCGAGCACGAAGCGCCGCCTCACATGGACGATCTGCGGGGGACAACGTCCTTTCCTCCGCTGCAAAGTACCTACACAGATGCATTCGTGTCTACGAAAGCATCTCCGTCTTCTTCATCTTGTCTCTTTGGCAGTGGGGCTGTGGGCGGAGGTGAGTTTTGAGCTCCATACACCAGCCGAAATGCTGAGACGGGCGACGCCGATGAACCAAACGATGTCCAGGGCGGGGACTCAGCAGCTATGTAATAATCTCACCACCACACCCTTCTTCGTCGTCCGTGCTGTGGCGCAGCTGCATGCGTTCGATCAGCATTCCGCTGCTAAACAGCTGTCTGAAGAGATCGCCCAGTCATGGTTCGTTTTCAACGCGCGAGACTACTGCGACTCTTCTTCAGCAGGATCCTCCTCACCTCTACCCTACGAGACGTCTCGCATGTGGCGGCTGAGGACAAGCGTCACTCTCTTCCACAACCAGACAGTTTCTGTAGGTGGACACCTGTCCACCTACGGAGGAGCGTCATCGCCAGGATTTAGGAAGTTCCTCACACCAGTCCACGAGAAGGACCTCTTCAAGCTGCTCAGGGCGGGTGCAGCATTCTCTGTGTTTTCAGAGAGGAGACTCGCGTCGACTACGGCGTCTTTCGTTTGGTTTTTCCCTCTGTCTGGCGTCCTTGCCGAGATTCAGATGGCCCTGCTTGGGTTCGTCACGTCCTTTGAGGCGTTACAGCATCGCATCAGCAGCATTCTTGTGAATCGGCTCAGCAATGTTACAGTCACAGGAGAAGAGGAGACAGGCGGTGGTGCAAGTAAATTTGTACAGCTAGGGATCACGACGCGAGGCGGTGTGCCAGCATTTGCCAACAATGTAACGACAGCGACATGGGATGTGGAGCACGTGTGCTCTGGTAAGATGTCGGCCATCCGACGCAGCAGCTGTGAAGCTACACAGGTATGAAAAGCGACGTGTGAAGTCCAGATCTCAGCCTCTGCTGCCTTGCTATGTGTTGTTCTTAGCGCTGCATGTGGTACGGGATCAATCCCAACGGAGGATTGATTGGAATGGACCAAATAGGTCGGGCTCTTTCTTACGAAATGACAAGACACACAAGACAGACACTGCATCCTTTCTATTTCTGTCTTGTGTCGGGGATAATTCGTCTTCATATTCAAGCCGATGCGTGGCTGACTCTGTTCGTTTTTATAAGCTTGGAGAACTGGAGAGATATCCTTCAATGGTACGAGGACGGTGCAGGCAACCCTGCCATCTACCTATATTTCATCCCGCTCTACCTCATCGGTACGGACACAGAGGCTGCTGTGTCGAAAACCTTGTCGCTGTCATGTCTCGCGCAGCTTTCTTCTTCATAATCACCTCGATTGCGGCGACTGTCTTTGTCACCTATGCTGAGAATAATCGGGCGATGATCCACGAGGCGAAAAGAAATCACAAGCTGCGAGAAGAGCTCGTCCAACGAGAGCTGGCTCGCTTACGAGACACAGACGGGAGGCGTAAACCGGCATTTTTTGGGATTTTCAATAAGGAGCCAGTGGCAAAAACTGACAAGATTGCAACACGCCAGAGAGAGAAGAGCATCGACGCTTTTGCACTCCTGAGCAGCAGCAACGTAAGGCACAATGAGACACAGCTTCTCTGTCCTGTGTCAGCCTGGTAGTAATGCCATGAATGGATGCATATCTCGTTTTGCTGCAGACACAGACACTTAAGGGACACTCCCCTGACGACGACGTCGTTGAGGGCATTAGGCTTCAAACAAAGTAAGTTTCGTATATTTTGCCGACGCCGGCCCCCATGATCCGAATCTGCATGCAGGCTTGATGCGGCTCGACGTGACATCGCCGAGAAATCGAACGAGGAGCTTCGCGGCCAGTTGGAGGGGATACAAAGTCACCTTAATCGCGACTTTGTTTCAGGTTTGTTTCACGCGCACCATCATGTCCGGTGTGACACAGAAAATGGGCATCGTTCATCTGGCACTCAACAGCTCGGACAGAGGGAGATTACGAGCGCCTTAGGACCCGGCTGAAAATACTTGAGGATATAATCGATATTGCCAGATTTCGTCTTGCCCTGCTCGATGCCAGAGCGTGGTCCTATTCTGGATTCCGTCGCTTTCTCTTTGCACTCATCAGCCATCCCATCTTTGAGGCCCTCGACATCGCTTCTGCATTTGCCCACGTCATCTGCCTGGGCATCTATAATTATGAGCAGCCTCGAAGCTTCATAGAATCGCTGGAGGAAGTCGTGTCCTTTGCTGAGCTCGAGTTTTATTTCGTCACACTGATGCGGCTCAGTGCGCTGAGGCTGACAATCTTCAAGAGGCCTTGGGTGGATAAATTGGATGTCCTCCTCGTGATTCCGATTGGGGTTTATCGACCGATGGGAGTATTTCGAATCCTTCGGGTGTATTATTGGCTCCTGGAGAATTTTCGAAGGCTTAGCGCCCTAAAAGACCTCCTCACCGACCTGGGGGCGGCTCTCAAGGGTCTTGCGGCATTGATTGTGGTGGTGGGCAACGGACACATTTATACCTACATCCCTAGAGTGTCTTATTGCGTGTCTATGCCCCCTCCCATCCACCCATAGATGGTGTTGAATCTTGTATGCAGTGGAGTCCTTGGAACGGCGCTCTTTCGAAACGTAAGCATGGAGCGGGGACAGCTGAATGATATGCACAGAAGTCAGTTCCTGTGAGTCTCACTTCTGTGTGTGTCTCTCATCTTATGACCCCTTCATCAGATGTTCTCCCCATCTGTCCGCAGCCACTTCAACACCACTGGTTTCTCCTTTCTCACGGTATTTCAAGTCCTCACTGAAGAGGACTGGCCCGAGATCATGTACGAGGCGATTGCAGCCCGCGGGTCTGCCGCTGTCTTGTACTTTGTTTTTCTTCTCGCGTTCAACAACTGGCTCTTACTTTACATCTTCCTCGCCATCCTGATTGAGCACTATTATGCGCGTCGGACAGCGGGCACGATACCGGCAAAAGAATCCATAGAGACGGAAAACGAGCTAACCGGCGGTAAGAAGACCGAGACGGGCATACCGAGCCGCTTCCAGACTCTTCTCTACTGGGATCCGCTTACTCTCCGGCAAATCAAACGGCTCAAAAGCTGCACAGACAAAGATCTTGGGAAATATCCCTCGGCCCCTGCTGCATCGCTTGGCATCTCAGTCCATACAACCACCAGGCCGCCGAGACGGAGCAACAGAAACGGTGCCTCACTGTACGGCCTGCCCGCTGAGGCCGCCATGTCGATTGATGATACTGGGATGAAGGAGGAGGCGAAACCATGGAGTGGCTCAGCCAATAACCAGCCTGCAGTGATTTCATTGCAGACGGCCGTCAGTGAGAGTGCTGGCGATGCACCCCAAAGAAGAAGGCAGAAGGCGAGAATGTTAGTTAGCAGCAGGTGGTACTGGCGTTTATATTACATTACGCTGCTGCTTCACGTCATCGTAGCTGCCTCTGACGCCAACCATAGTGAGGGCTTCTTCGCTCTTTGGGCCATGCAGGTGCGTGTAGAAAAAACTAAGCGATCATATCTTCTCGTACAATGAGGGCCCGTATTCTTATATATGGTTGCATGCAGTACCTATATGCAGCCGCAGATACACTGTTCGTTCCCTTCTTTACCGTGGACATCGGCGTCAAAGTATGGATCTACGGGATGTGGAAAGAGCCCGACAGCTATTTCCGTTCTGGCTTCAACATTTTTGACGCCGTCATGACCCTCATCGGTGAGCTCGATGATGAGGGCCAGGCACTCTTTCTATTTCAACATTCTGGGCACCATTTCTGCAGCCTGGGTGGATTTGATCACATGTTACTATGTCACATTCGCTATCGTTCCTACTGCGTCCATCTTCGCAGACAGCAGCCACGATGTGGCGGCCGAGGAAATATCGGCGATGCAAGAGAAGATTGGCCTTGGCTGGCTCAGATTTGTACGCATAAGTACAGAACCGGTGCAAACAGAGACATTGGGTGCGGGGCTTGATGGCTGCACACACACAGGCACACGTTGTCGTGGGCGCAAGGGGCATGCGGCCTTTCCGCATGATTCGACACCTGGATGGACTCCGCAAAGCAACATCGTGTGTGCTGATAAGCTTAAGAAAAACGGGGAATATTTTGCTACTGGTGCTTATGACGTAAGCATGGTGTCAATAGCAGAATATGGTGTGATATTTCGCATTATTGACCCCTTGCAGGTACCTTCTGTTCATATTGCTGGGTCTTCATTTCTTTATTGGTCAGCCAATTCGCTGCACAACAAATGAAGCACACCACTTCTCTTGCGCCGCGTCTGCAGGCCGTTTTGGCGAGTGTGCAATTGGCGTGAGCGACAAAGGTCTCTTGTCTCTTTTGGGCGACGATTTTACGCCGACAAATCCCCTAGAGGGCCTCACACCCGACGATCTGGTGGACAAAGATCAATGTGAGAGATATGGAGGCGAGTGGGTGCACCACTGGCCCAACTTTAATTCGTTTTTCGGGGCAGCATCTGCGATGTTTGAGGTATGGTGAGTTGTGAAGAGATGTGCGTAGCTTTGTGCCTGTGGTGTGTGTGGCAGGTGGCCTTTCTTGAGTCCTGGACGGACATCATGTACCGTGCCATCGATATCGAAGGCTACAACAAGGGCCCCAAACATGAGGCGAATCCGTTTGCCAGCCTATTCTTTGTGCTATTCATTTGGCTTGGGGTTTTTATCGTCCTCAACCTCCTTGCCTCCGTCATGATCGACCAATACCAAGCTCAAAGGGAAAAAAGAGCGCACAGAAGTGAGGACACTCACGGCGATGCGTGTCTCCTCTCGGCAAAACTGTCTCTGTCTGTGTGTTTTTCGATCAGACCGGCTTCGCGTCCTGATGACGGTGAAGCAGCGACGGTGGTACAAAACAATGGAACATCTGCTCATGCCCAATGAAGACAAGTGGCGAGATGTGCTCTTGGGCTCTGTGGCATGGTGGGGCCGATACGTCTTCTCCGATGCTTTCGGCGCCTTCATGGCCGTACTAGTGACCGTCCACATCAGTGTGCTATCGTCTTTTCACCTGGGGCAGGAGGAAGGCACTACCGAGCAGCAGTTCAGGCTGCACTACCTCTTTACGGTCATTTACTTCGTAGAGATTGCCCTCAAGTGGTCTTCCGCTGGCACCAAAGCCTTCTTCAGACCAGCGTCCGTCAACTAAAGAATACGCATCTCACTTTGTGATGTAGTTGTGTGGAATGCTGTGTCATATGTTTCCATTTCAGGTCGGAGAAACTGTGCGTGATCCTTGCCTTGCTTTGCTACGTCGGCATTCAGCTGGAGCAGTTCGGCGTGCCGTATTACTTCAGATGTTTGGGCGCGTTCTGCTGTTTGAGGATCATTACTTTTCTCGGAGAGTGAGTGAGACACGCACATCGCAGTGCACTCATGAGCCAGAGACTGCCTCCTTTCTGTCTCTGTCTTGTGTCAGGTTGGCATTCCTTCGTTCAGTCCGATCCATCCTCAGCGCCTTGCTCTTGGTGCTGCCCAGTGTGGGCAATTTCGCCCTGTTGATCTTCCTGGTGCGTACGCAGAGCCCATACAGAGAGGAAGGCGTATGTGATGGTGCGTGCGGCTCGATCGTGTGTCACTATGCAGATATACTGTGCGGCCGCCATCTCGGCCATGAATATGTTCGGGAGTATCCGAGATGGCGACTTCATCGACGAGAAGTTCAATTTCTCCAATTTTCAGGCATGTTGTTCCTCGTGTGGCAGACGCTCGATGCCTTGTTCGTGCTGTGTTCTTTACATCTCAGAGGTCCCTCCTGGTGCTCACTTAGATTGGCAGCGGTAGAACGCAAGCCCACAGACGCAGGAAAAGTGCCACGACACTTTGGTCTCTCTCTGCGTACATTTCGGTGAATGTCACTCAGGTGAGGACTGGCAAGTGGTGATGTGGGACTGTATTAGAGGAGGGAATCCAGTGGTGGCATCCGTGTTGGTGTGGCGTTTGTCCTCTGCGTCACCTTCCTCATGACCAATTTGTTCATCGCCATCATGATGGAGGCTTTCACCTACGCAAACAGTGGTGTGGCGTCTGCCGGGCATCTCTCTCTCCAGCTGAGGAGGCAGGACCTGGCACGTCTGAAGGATCTGTGGTTCTGTCTGGACAAGCACTACACGATGGCGCTTCCTTTTGACAAGGTGCTGCTGTTCATTCTGGCCACGCCGGCGCCGATGGGACTGCGCAGGAAGGGCGACCCTCTGTTCAGATACGGGCCAGGGCAGCACAGGCAGCGCGACAACGTTCTGGCGTTCTTCAAGAGGCTGAACGTGCAGATGATTGGCGACGGCAATGTGGCCTCTTTTTACCACACCATACAAGCAATGGCTGACAGCTGGTATGCACACAGATCGCCCGATGCGCGCACACGCAAATGGCTCACACAAGTGTGTGTCTTTGTTTCCGCATTGATTTGCTTGGTCTGACAGTCTGCAGACGCCCGTCCCGGCGTCCCTAGGGGAATGGTTGAGGGTCGAGTTGGGCAAAAAGGTGTCCATGGTGTGCGGCACCATCTCCCGCTACCGCAGCGCCCATCTGGTGTCCATCATCAACATACAAACCAACTGGCGCAGGCACGTGTCGAGACAGAAGCTCAAGGTCATCCGGGCTAAGATACGATTCGCTAACCTCGTGCACGTAAGCTTCAAGGGCTCATTCACCCACCCCGAAACATACATGCCATGAGGTGTTGTGTGTTGTCCGTGCAGAGTGTCCGTGTGAGTGACCGGCGGCACACATCGATCCTGGAGCTGCTGGAAGAGAGTGGGCAGGCGCTGCCAGAGATTCAGCGTGTAGTCCAATCGGCCAGGGACGAACTCAAGAGGAAGAAAACTCAGGACCTGCATCAACAGCAGCAGGGGGAGGGAGAGCCCCACATGGATGGCCTGGGACAGAGCGCAGTCAAGTGATGATGGGCAGCTAAGCCGTTTGTGTGCTCATCGGTAGGATTTTCTGCTTTGTACTGCGTCATTAGACAGACACAAGGTCGTGACAGCGCTGCGCTCTCAGAGTGATGGCTAGTGATGTATTCAATGTGGCTGGCAGCAGCATGGCAGGCATATTATGTGTTGGACTGGACATACATACGATAGACACGCGACGCGTGGCATTCGTTTGTTCCCTTCATCAGTCAGAGAGTGATGAGTGCACGCAGTTGATATGCAGGCTAGGCTAAGCAGCAGCGGCTGCACGCGAAAAGACAACATGGCGACGGACATGCACAGCCGGCCGGCCAGCCATAGCATAGCTGGCTGCCCCCTCTCACACACACGCAGGCACATCGTGCCGTGTGGCGCATCTGTGTGTGAACCAAGGACAGCAGCGCCAATCAGCTCCAGAGACACTACACTCCAAGCCACATGGTGGTAGTAAGGTAACCCAGTGGGGAAAAAATCACTCTCGCCAACACTGCGTGTTTGTATATGTGTGTCTGTGTGTGTGCGTGTGGATGGCCGCCCAAGGAAAACAAATGCCTGCGCGTCACTCACTCACTCACTCACTCACTCAGAAAGACAGGCTGGGTATGCATTGCGTGGCAGTGAGACACATCGACCGCTGCACTTCGTGCCTGGGGCAAAACGGTGCGAAACGGCGCGCAGGGCTGCCTGAACAAGTGGATACTGTGTGTGTCACCACACATGTCAAAGTGAGGTAATGTCTCCCTCCCTCGCAGCTGCAACCAATCATCGGTCGGTACAAAAATCGTAATCCGCCCATGTAGATATCCTATCCTGTCTATCTATCTGCCATCCGTCCAGGTCTGTCTGCTATGTACACAAAAATCCGCTAATGCTGCCTGGCGTTAAGGTTGATGGGCGACGAGAAGAGGGCGTCGTCACGGCCGCCCTCACCGCCAGGGCCAAACGGATACCTGACGGAAGGAAGAAAGGGAGACACACACACAAGACAGTAGATGGGTCTGTGTGTGTGTGCGGGTCTCTCTCTCTGTGTGTGTGTATGCGCGTACCTGTTGATTTGGACCTGTCCGTCAGCGTCTCCGACGATGTGCAGGTTGATGGGCTCCTCTAGACAGTCATCATCCTGCAGCGCCGCCACAAACGACTGCACACACACATACGTACACACATCGTCTCATACACACACACGTACAGTCCATCGATTGCCAAGTGTCTGTGTGCTTGCCTTGAAGGCGGGCTCGTTTTGGTGTCTGATGAGGTGTGGGATGTCTGCGAATCGCTCCACAATGATGAAGTCGAGCCGCCCTCTCGGGTCCTGGTTGACGTTGATGGCCGACACCGTGTGCATCGTCTCCACATCCACCTGCTTCACGCTGATATATCGACACAAACCACACGTGTGTCGCAAATGCTATGCTATGCTGTCTGTGTGTGTGGTTTACTATTCGTAGTATTTCCTGACGAGCTCCTGTGTGACCGGTGCCTTCTCCTTGCGAGACTTGAGCACCATACTCAGCATCAAACCGCGCTCAGACACACTGACGTCCCACACAGATATAAACCAGACAACACCCATGCGTGTGCACTCGTTTCTGTCTCACTTGTCCAGGAGTTGGTCGCTGGTGAAGATGTCGTGAAGGGGCTCTGTCTCCCTGAACCGCTTATACTCACGGGTCTCCTTGTCGTCAGCCAGACCAACTGCAGCCACACATACACACACAGGCGATATATCAACCACATTTCAGTTCGGGTTTGTTGAGGGTGCGGTGTGTACCCCTCATCATGTCGGCGACACCGAAGAGGAATGTCCTGGCAGCGTTGACGCGCCAGTCGAGTCCCTTGCTGACGGCGAGGAAGGCAGACACGGGGGCAGCGAACAACCGAATACCCAACAAGGCATACACCGTCTGGACAGACACAGACACGCACCGCACACCCCCACGGATGCACCACCACACCAGACCAGCACCATTGCGCACAAAGGTTCAGGACTACCTGTCTTGCGTATGCCTCCACGTCGTTGGTGAGCCAGCCGAGCATGGACCAGTCGCCCGTCCAGCCGCAGTCCACAGACGAGAAGAACAGGAAGAGCAGCAGCAGCTCCACACCAACAAACAGGTTGCTGTTGAGGTACTGCCGCACGCCCTCAAAACCGCTGCTGAACAAAAACCGCTCCACTGCCGTCGGGCCCTCCTGTGCACACGCATGGACACACCGAGCCGTGATGCGCTGCAGGAGAACCAACGCATCGCATGTGGTGCGCTTCCTATCTTACCTGCATTTCGTCTGCCTTCCTCTGCTCCATCTTCTGGTGGTCTTGCCACACCTCAGCAAAGGTGCCATTGGGGTAGCTCTTCGCCTGCTCCTCGAAGGTCGGCGGGGGGTGGTCATAGTCGGGCAGGATGTGCAGGTCATAGCGCGTCCCCGCCTCCTCGGCCGTGTGCACCAGCTCAGCCCGGCCGTCGCCGGCCGCCTCCTGCCGCTCCTTCTCCTCCTTGAGCACCGCCTGGATGCGCTGCTGCCGCGACAGCATGTCCTTGGCAGTGATGACGTCCCTCTCATAGAGCTTCGTGTTGGGACGGCCGTCGAACCAGTTCTCAACAAACGGGGCAAATACGTCCTCTATCTCCTGCCGTGTCTTGCGCAGCCGCGGCTTGCCGTCTGTCGAGGCAGCGGCGGGAGCTGCAGGCGCGTCGACGGCCGTCGCTGGCTTGGCCCATCTGCGCATCAGGGTCCGCGCGAGAGGTGACCTCGAGACGCTGGCTGGAGGCTGAAAGGCATGAAGGAGGGAGGGGAGCGCCGATAGCAGGCAGAGGAGGGAGGCTAACATGGGCCTCACAGGACGAGATCTGCAGGGATGAGATCTCCGACTGCTGCATGGCTCTGCATCTGAATCTGCGCAGGAGGCAGTCGTCTCAGCACACCGCGTCCTCATCCCGCTACCAAATTCCTTGGAGTGCTGTTGGTTGAAAGCGCTGCTGGTTTTCTCAGCTCGCATTTGGCGAGCTCAAAAAACCGCTGGGAAGGATCTGTGTGTTTGATGCCTCTCATTGACGATACATCCGTTCGGAAGATCAGGCAGTCAGCACATTGACTGACCGAATTGTGAGTGAGCAGCCGCAGCCGCAGCCATGGATGACGAGGAGGTGAGAAAGGCCACAGTGAATGCGGACATCCACGCAGCATAGCATGTATGTGCATGTGTTTGCCTCACCTGTTTGTTCTGTTTGGCCACCAGGTGAACCCCAAGGCCTATCCTCTGGCCAACCCCGACGTCACCAAGAAGATCCTCGATGTCGTGCAGCAGGCCGTCAACTACAAGCAACTCAAAAAGGGAGCAAACGAAGGTACATACGCTGTGAATGGATATACGGCATGGGTGACAGACACTCCTTGAGCGACGGGATGAGTGTGTGATGGTCTGTGACTTCCGGTGCGTCCATTCATCAGCCACCAAGACGCTGAATCGCGGGACGAGCGAGTTGATCATCCTTGCGGCCGACGCGGAGCCTCTCGAGATCCTCCTGCACTTGCCGCTTGTGTGCGAAGACAAGGTCAGCCACTCAGCAAGGCAACTGCAGAGAAGCAGCTAGAACAAACTGGAGACGCAAGGAGAGGAGAGAGGTGTGCATTCGTTCGTCTGTTGGTTGCTTCTCTGTCTTTCTCTCTGTGTCTGTGTGTGGGTTGGGTTCAGAACGTGCCGTATGTCTTTGTGCGGTCGAAGGTGGCGTTGGGTCGTGCGGCAGGTGTGACTCGGCCGGTGATAGCGTGTTCGGTCATCTCCAAGGAGGGCAGCAACCTCAACTCACAGATCACTGACCTCAAGGACACCATCGAACAACTGCTCATCTGACTCAGTCTGGTCGGCAATCGCGGGTGTGGGTGTGGCTGCTTCCCGGACGGACAGACGGAATATTTGCTTTTGCCGGCTGCTGTCCGTGTGAGTGTGTTGAAGGGCGGTTGCTTACTTCGTATTTGTGAGATACATCAGTGATCGATCACTGACTTGTGTGGTGAATAACGTCTTGATTGATCAATTCAGTGGAGCATATGGTAGGCAGAACCCTTCAGTGGCATGTAGGCAGATAATCAAGAGACGGACGCGGACATACCGCCCCGACTCACTCAGTCTTGCCCCAAAAGAGACTCAAGTCGTCACTCCGGGCCAGGGCCGGATGATGCGTGAAGATGCCATCTTGTGGCAAAGTGGAGCGAGAAGAATGCTCCCTCGATCGACACACGATCTCAGACTGCTGCATGATCACCGAAACGATTCACACACATTTGTACGGCTTACCTTTGGCCCTTGTACGTCTTTCCCGCATCTGGGTACGTGGCTGCATGTGGGCAGCGATGCGGTCGTTGAATTCGGACGATCTTAGCCGGCGGCGAGAATTTGAGCTGGCGGCGAGAATGGAGACGGCGAGACGACTTTCTTGAGACAATGTCATGGCTGCATCGACCTCTCAGTTGTGCGCATCCTCTTCCAGCTGCTGCACTGCTGCATTCGCCACCTGCTGCTGCTGCCATCGTGCCGCCATGCCTCCCAAAGGCGAACGCTGCATGAAGCTGATACAAGATAAAGAAGGACCACGAGGAGAAGCCAGATGAGAAGCGGACCCGCAGCGATGATGCACCCCATGGCTTTGTGGGATTCCTGTGGTTTAGCGCCGGCAACCACCGCACCAACGAGCACGTCACCCTCCAGCTCGAGAGCGTCATCCCCCATGTGTTGGACTACCCCGAGGTGACGGCCAGACGCACACCAAGGGCCCCTTTATTTTTTGTGGGTTTTTATCGACACCCTCATCATCATCTGGCGCGTCTGCCCAAAGTAAGACCTGGCCGCGTGTATGCACAGATGCATGTATGGGTGCAGTGCAAAAGAGGAACCCTCTGTCGTATCTGTATGTGTGTTCGTCTCAGGTGGGAGTGGTGCATAATTATCTGATGGTGGTGTGTAGTGGTGCCCATCTGCCTGATCATTCAAGAGTCGGGGCTGCAACCTGTCATCGTCGACGGGTGTGTAGGACTCTACAAAGCAGGTGGGCACTGGTGGATTAGGACCGTCGACTGCCAGCCTGACATCAAGCTGCCGGGCCGATATGGCACCATCAAGGAGCTGTTCGGCCTGGACCACCAAGAGACGGCCGAGCTGCGAGGAGAAGACCGCCCGTCACGCGACGATGATAACGCCACCAAGAGGCAGGAGGAGGAGGAAGGAGAGGAGGAGAGGGTGCAGAGGGCGAGGGACAAGGTGGCGAACAGCCACATCGACAAGGAGACGTACGCGCCCTTCATCAGCGGCATCCTCGACGACGGTCCCCTCCTCCCGTAAGTGTGAGGGCGCCACGGGAGTCGTCAGTCGAGCAATCAATCAGTCATCGTCTGTCTGTGTGTGTGTCTGTTGTGTGGTCAGGGGGCAGTGGAGTGAGGAGGTGCTGAGTATGGCGTGGTTGTTGTCGGACCCTGCCCGCGGCCTCGGCCTGCTGCCGGCGCTCTTCGGAGTGGCCGGCAGCGACGGCAAAGTGCCGCAGGGCTGGGACTTCACCAACGCCCAACTCGACCACGTGCTGGACAAGTTAGCGAATCATGAAAGGCACAAATTAATCTGGACCGATGGGCGACGGGTGTATGCGTTGGCTGTATGTTCTTCAGGTTTGAGAAGGAGAACCCCTGCCCCCGCCGCGGCAACGAGGGCGAGTCGTCCTTCGTCGAGCGCCGCCTTCGCAATGCTGCCCGCTACTGCACGGACCGCAACACGCTCGGCCACCTGCGCCTGTCGGATACCTTCCGCAGGTTGCAGGTGGAGGCCAAGCCCAACACACGGGCGGCGGCGCGGAGGGGCGGCAGCAACTGAACGGCGGGCAGTGGTGTGTGTAGAGTGGTGTGTAGAGTGGTGTGGGTCAGAGTTGCCCGGATCGCTGACTTTCGGACTCCTCTCCCTCTTCGCTGCTGCCAAGGTCGACCGAGACGGCAGCCAGGGCGCCGAGGAGGAGGAGAATGCGCCAACCGAGGGGCAGCCGGTGGTGACGCCGCCGAGCGCTGATGCGGCAGGGAGGGGCAGGGGCAGAGGCGCGTGAGTGGGGGCGCCACCAACACAAGAACCAAATGCGAGAGGGGTAATGTGATGTAGCCGAGGGGGGGAGAGGGGAGAGAGAGAGATCGACAGGTAGCCTATTCATGTTGTTCATGAGAGTGAGAGAGAGAGAGAGAGAGAGAGAGGGGGAGGAGAGAGAGAGAGGGAGGGAGAGGGGCGGCCTGTTGGACGGATAGCTCGACATCCAGACCGAATTCGGGCGTGCGTTTTGATAAGCCTGCCTGCTCTGCCTGCTTGCTCGTACTCCCTATCAGTCAGTGTACCTGCGGGTCGGTCGGTCGTCTGGCTTGTGCCTGTGGTCGGTCCTTCTGACTGCTGTACATATGTTGATATGTCTCGAGCCCTTGTCCGTCTCGTTCTGTCTGTCTGTGTGAGTGGCCCCAAGGGGAATCACTGCCTACATTTTATATTGTGCTCGGTCTCTCTCGTAGTTGTTTACGCATTGGTTACGTGTTGGTTGGTGTCGCAGCCAACAGGAACTGTCTGGCAGCAACAAAGTGTGAGGCAGATAGTGAGCAGATGGCCGCTTCTCCGGTGAATTGAGAGCGTCGAGGCGAGTCATTCTATTCTCTGGCCATGGACGTGTATATCTGCGATTGAACAATCATCTCTTCAAAGCACAGACGAGTGTTACGGTTATCATCTCTTCAAATTGACGACTGTTCCACTGTGGGTGCATCGGTGTGTCATGCAGTATCGGTCGTGCATCTGTCCGCTTCTCGCATCTAAATGTGTGGTCAGACTCGTGGTTCGCCACAAGTGTGTGCCCTCATCTGACCGCTACAGCCGGCCTGTGTGTGCTGATGGAGCATTGTTTATTCATGTGTGCAGGGAATGGACAGCAATGCAATCACCGTACACTTCTTGAGCAGCACGCATCACATCGATCCATTGGCTGTCTGTCACGACTGACTCCACGGAGCTGAGGTCGCCTTGCCTTAAACACACACACACTCTCTCTCATGAGAGACACACATAAAGTTAGCTGAATTGACGTACTGACACACACACACACACACACATCCTTCCCATCAATCCGTTGACTGACAAGGCGGCAGCGCCCATCCCATCTCGGGCCATCCATTCATCCCCCCATCGTCCCGTCCAGGTCTAGATGAGCGATGCGGTCTGCGGCTGCTGGGGCGTCTGCTCTGGCTGCTGTTGTTGCTGCTGCTGTGGTGTGATGAAGTATGCTGCAAGGATCTGGGCGAAGGATGTCGTCACCTGGGGGTGGGCCGTGCGGGCTGTCAGCCGCGCCATCATGCTGGTCGATCCATCGAACCGAACAACACACACGAAGCAGACCGACAGACACAGACAGACAGACAGACAGTGAGGCCATCCACTCACTTCACATTTCAGTGGCTGTGTGTCTTGTCTGTCGTGTGACTGACGTCTATGTGTGGGTACGGTACCTTACTTACCGCGATGGGTCGAGCTCGAGCTTCATCATGCAGGCCACCACAACCTTCTTGCTGGGGTCATTCTGTTGGCACACAGGACAGGACAGGCAGAGCAAGCAGACAACCACACACACCGTCAGGGAGTGAGTGACACACGGACGGGACGCACGCCCCCACAGAGAGAGACAGCTCATTGATGGCTGGGCTGCCTCTCTCCTGTCACCCACCCCGCCCACCGGTTGGGGTGTGCCCGTGTGGAAAGTGGCGGCGCCAAACAAAACGCCGGGCGCCTGACCAATGAAATCAGTCACACCACACACACGGCAGCGAGAGGAATCCACACACCACAATCGCCCCTTCCCCCTCCCACACACACATACGTTGGACAGTGGGATGATGGCGAGGTTGAAGCCCTGCGAGAGATAGGCATTAAAGCGCTGCATGATGGCCTGCGGACTCAGCTGCTGTGGCGCCCCGGCTGCCCTCTGGACGTCGGCCACAAAGCCGCTGGCGAGCGGCCCCATGAGCTGCATTTCCCTGCCCGGCCCCGACATGCTCTCCCAGTAGCTCGTGAACTGCTCCGCTGACAGGCTGGCGGGCGAGAAGAACTTGGTCAGACACACCGGCAGAGTGAAGGGCAGATTCTGGTTGCTCGGCGGGCCCTGGTCATTCGTTGACACACAGACAGACAGACAGACAGACAGAGAGGCAAGCGTGACGGCACCTGACATCCATCCGTGTATGTGCGTGTGTGATACTTACTTGTGGGGTTTGTAAGACGCAGTTGACGATGTATTTAGGCGGGTTGAGGTACGGCTGCAGGCAGTCGACCATCACCTGATGGGTGTACGTCTCCCCGGGACGCAGCACATCCGGCGGCTGTGTGGCAGGCACATCAATGACAGACACAGGCAGATGCACACGCCAGGGCAATGATTAGCTGTAATGTGCGTAATGGCATGGGTCACTCACTATCTCACCTTTGACGCTTGGTGCCTCATAAACGGCGCTTCAGAGATGGTGACGCTGCACCGTAGATAGACCGACAGACAGACAGACAGACAGACAGGAGACAGACCGACATGAGGGATGTCCCTCCCATGTGTGTGTGGATGTGTGGGTGTGATGCTTTCTTTCTATCTACCTGGGGAATTGTACGACGACGTTTGGGCTCTTGTTGGCGTAGTTGATGGCGATGCGGCCCTGGTTGAGCCTGTACTCGTGCCGCAGCTGAATGACCAACGAGTTCGACTGGAACATCGGACCTGACACACACACACACAGCACATTCACTGCCGACACACACGTGCAGGGCGCACAGACGTACCTTGCGGAGTGATGCACAGGTTCTTCCACATTCCCTGAATGTCCCCTGGCGCAGTGGGGGGCAGCTGCAGCCCACCGCCCGCAGGGCCGCTGTCAGCCTCTCCCCGGCCCCTCCCACCGCCACCAGCAGCCCCCCTTGACCGTGGGCCGTTCCGACGATCCTCTTCCTCCTCTGCACACACACACACACACACACAGAGGGGGGCGAGAATGGCGTGTATGTGATGTGTGTGGTGTGTGGGTGGGGTGGGGCGGCGTGGGGCGGTAGTTGACCTTCCTCTTCTTCTTCGTCCTCCTCCTCCTCTTCTTCGTCCTCTTCTTCATCTTCATCGTGCTCATCACGGCGGCTGAACAAACAAATAAACAAAGAAATCCACCAGTAAATCCTTTGCCACATCAACACTCAATGTGTCCGTGTGTGGGGGGGGGTCACGGCCAGGAGGAGGGGGAGGGGGAGAGGACCACACCACACTCACCCGTTTCGCTCGTCCTGTTCCTCCTCCTCCTCTTCTTCGTGATCGTCGTCTTCCTCTGCCTTGGCTGCGGGGCCCACGCCGGTCTTGAAGAGCACACCCTCCGTCTTGGCCGCCTCCTCCAGCTGCTGACGGGGGGCGGCACTGCAGACAGGCAGGCAGGCAGGCAACGCAGAGAGGGAGGGCACTCACATAAGCATACCATATGGGTAAGAGGCAGTGGTATTTTGCGTACCGTGACTTTGAGGCTTGTTTCATTCGTCTGATGAGGGGGTTGTTGCTCTGGATCTTCTCGCTGAAGACGGGCATCATCGCTGCGCACAGACAGACACCGACACATCCATCCATCCATGGTTCACACAGACACGTACCGAGGACGTTTTCCATGGTAGCGGTGCTTTCGTTGCAGAGCCTGTAGAGCTCCACAGCCCTCTGCTGCAGGTCGGGGTCAACCGAGTCCTGCTGCTCCTCCAACACTGCCAACACCTATCGCACACACAAACACACACACGCCAGATACGCGGCATCTGTCTCTCTCTCTCCCTCTCTCTCTCTCTCTCTGTGTGTGTGTGTGTGTGTGTACCTCTTCCGAGACATCTTCATCAGCGTTGAGGAGTTTGGCGTATGCGAGCAGCAGGATGCACCGAGTGGAGGAGCCCACCCTGGGGAAGTGCCGGTGAAGCGTCTGGAACTGACGCGACGCTGGTGCACACACACACACACACACACACAGAGGGAGAGAGGGATGAATGGATGGATGGATAGAGAGGCTGGGAGGGAAGGGGGCTGGTTTTGGTTAGTTACTTGAGAGTTGGCTCTGCAGGTGGTGGCCAAACTCGCCTATCAGGTAGGCCCCCAGCCTGCATAACACACCACACCACACCCACCGCACGACGCATCGCATCCATGAAAGACACAGACACGTGGGCAGACAGAGGCAAACGCCTCGCCCTGCAGTGCGGTGAGAGGTGTGTGCACTATGCCTGCAGCTGACTGACTGACTCACTGACACTCACCTGACCATGGTCTCGTCGGCGAACCTGTCATTCAGATACTCTATCGCCTTCTTGGCCGCGTATTGCTGAATGAAACACAACACACCACACCACACCACACTATACACACCACATGGTCAACACCTGTGTGTGTGTGTGTGTGTGTGTGCCCACCTGCAGCTCAGCGTTGTCGGTGTTGTCGTCGAATCCCGTGACGACCTGCACCACTCGGTACCAGATCTCGTCAGACACCACCTCGGGCGCATACTCGATCATCTTGAACACCACATCCACGTACCTTCAACACACACACACACACACACAGACACACCTGCACAGAGAGGGAGGGGGGGTCGGTGTGTGTGTGTGTGGCTGACCGACTTACCAGGTGTAGTCTGGTGCGTTTCGCTCGGCGAGTATGGCGATCTTGAGAACGAGTTCCTCCTGCATGAGGACGTCTGAGCCCTTGAGGATCTCGAGGAGCTCGTCCACGATCTGCTGCCAGTTGTCGCGGTCACATATGCCGTACAGCAGATTCAACGCCTTCACACACACACAGACACACACAGAGAGAGAGAGAGAGGGAGAGAGAGGGAGAGGGATGACTTTGCGCGTGTGCATATGCCCGTCACTCACCTGTCTCCTGATTGAGATGTCAGGTTCCTGCAGCTGCCCGATGATGAGCTCCGTGTGCCGCTTCAGCTGCGGCAGCACGTCGGGGTCCGATGCCAAACGCGCCATCGTCTCCAAACCCAAATAGCGAATGTTGGCCTCCTGACGCACACAGAAACATACAGACACACACACACAGCACAGAGATGCGCGTGCAAGGAGAGCGTCCATTCCGTTCCCCCCGTGTGAGCGTCTGGTGCGTGTGGCCGACCCGACCGACCTTTGATGCGACGAAGTTGCCGAGAAGGCTCGATGCCATTTTCTTGGTGGTGAGGTCGCAGTCCATCTCCAGGTGGATGATCAGGTTGAGCGCCTCAAACAAAACGGCGTGCTCCTGCGATGGAACCATGGATGGATGGACTCATGGATGGATCAGATCAGTGAGTGCCTCACTACTCACTGTGTTGGATCTGTTAAGACGTTCTGCGTCGGCCTTGGTGCGCTTCTTGCCGTGGTGGTGGGGGGCGTGGGCGCTCACAGTCGGCTTGGACAGAATGCGATACAAAATGTCGTTCATCCGGTTCAGCAAACTGACATTCGTTAATACCCACACACACGTACTCGTGTGGGTGCGGTGCATCGACGCAGCGTCTGTCTGTCTGTCTGTCTGTGTGAGGTGGCGTGGCGTACGTGGTGTTAGTGGGTGCGGGGAAGAACTGGAGGATCCGCAGCAGCTTGATCTGCAGCCACGGGGCCGGCACAGAGTAGTATACATAAAACGGCGGGCAGTCGCCTCCCATCACCCTAAACAACACACACACACACGATGTCTGTCTGTCTGTCTTTGTTGCGTGGATAGATCAGATCACCTCGCGAGAGTGAGAATGGCCGGCTGCACGAGGTCGTCCCAGCCATTGGGGTCGGTCTCGAGCACCCCCAGGATCAGACTGCACATCGACGTCAACACGCCGGTGTCCTTTTCACTCTGCAGCGCCTGCAACCAGCCCATCCAACACACAACACACACCAACCAACCACAATGCTGATCTGATCCGCGCACTCTCGACTGATGGATGGATGGATGGATGGCTCTTCCGCCAGTCAATCGCCCCAACCACATAACATCTCGTACCTGTCCGAGCCTGGCCGCCCAGGTGTCAGGCTGGATGGTGTCGTAGTCCCTTCTGTATAGCCTCAGGAGGCACACATACGCCTTCCTCCGAATGTACGAGGGCCTGGACGCCCCCGGGGTGATGAGCTTGGCAATGTCGGAGAAGAGGTTCTCGCTGAACTCCTCGCCACCCAGGTTGGCGCAGGTGTTGAGGGCCAGGGCGGTCTGGTGCTCGTTGCCGTGGAGGATGTCGTTCTTGACCATGTTTGTGATGAGCCGGAGGATCTCCGAGTTCTCGCTTAGCAGCAGGCTGCAGGCCAGGTACCCCGCGTTCTTCTCGCTGTACTTGTTGGAGGAGACCAGGTTGACGGCCTCCATGTGGCCAAAGTCGATGTCGTAGCCGAGCATGAAGGCGTATAGGAGCTTCCAGATGTACTTCTTGCGGTCGTAGCCGGAGAGGCTCTTGCTGTTGGTGAACTTCTGGCGTATCTTGGCGAGCTCCTTGTCCACGCGCTTCTGCTCGGCCTCCTTGTTGGGGCAGTTCCGAATGTCCGCCACAAACACTGTCAGCCCTTTCATCCCCGACGGCATCTTGACCCTGCACAATCACACCTGCCCAGATACATACACTCATCCCATCCGCCTCTCGGCTTTGCTCTCTCTGTGAGTGTGTGTTTGCTTCCTGACTCACCACGCACTTGACACTGAAATACGCAGCTGCGGCGCCTTTTGTGGGTGTGGTGCTTCTTGGGGAGTCGTCAATTCAAAGCCACGCTCTTTGCCTGACCACCCCTTCCACAAACTGCGAGCTTGAATTGCGAGCTAAACCCGCAGATCTGCCTCCAGAAGAAGCATAGAAGGGGCACCGGACAAGCCTTCTGATCGTCGCCTGCCGAGGGATGTCGGTTTTCCCGCGATTTCCGACAGTGACCCACCGCATATGTCATCTCCGGTGGGTGCTGGCCCTCCATCTATGCCGCCTGGCGTGGAGCGTGTCGCACCCGGCGGCCCAGTGGCTGTCAGCCTTCATGCCGCTGCAGAGGACCGGCAGATCAGGGTCAGTCGACGGACTCATCATGAGGCGGCCGCTCACTCGAGCAGCGAGGCGGCCGCGGCGCTTCCTGATGGCCAGGCTGAAGAGCTATGAGCCCAAAACGGTGGGTGAGGGCAAAGACCAGGTGAGTTGCTATGCTCATGGTGCGTATGGTATGTTGTGTTATGCTGTGCAGGAGGCGGATGTGTTTGAGATCGTGGGTCACGCGCTGAAGATCCACCCGGACAACCTCCGCAGCGAAATCGCCGATGTCCGCGGTATCTACCCTCTCACTCTCAAGGACGACGACAAGAACCGAGCCATCCTGGGCGACCGGCTGCTCGACATCGCGCTCAGCCGGTACATGAAGGCCATGTACACGGGCTTGCCGCCAGAGGTCCATGACCGGTGCCGCGTGCTCCTGCTGCGCAACTCGGTGCTTGGGGAGCTGAGGGAGTTCGCCGTGCGGCAAGGGGGAGGGGGAGCGGGAGGGGGAGATGAGGTGGGCGACGAGGAGTGGGAGGCGATGGACATGAAGGAGCGGGCCAACTTGGTGGAGGTCGCCGTGGCCATGAACCCCCAACTCGCAGATGACGTCATCAAAGCGGCTATCAGACAAGCAGGTGAGGTGCCTCCCCCCTCCCGACACACGCACACACCACACCCGAGAGAGATCAGATGGGGATGGATGGATGGATGCGATACCCTTTTTTGTATATGTGTGTATGACTGTGTTAGGGTACGAGTCTGAAGCCGACCTGCTGCTGGCGTTGGCGTCATCCTGGACGCTCAAGGGGCGGGGTGGGGGCCGGTGGGCGGGTCGTTTCCGCAACGCGTGGGAGGAGGCCAAGAAGGCCGCCATGGACGAGGAGGCAAGACTGGCCGGCCTCCCACTGCCGTCGGAGCAGCCCAAGCGGCAGGTCGACCATGGGTTGGTCTACAACAGAGTCATCGAGTGGCTCCGGAGGGAATGTGGGCTGCTTCAACCGAAAATTAAGGAGGTACGGTGGACAGGCAAGCAGACAACAGGCAGACACTGATCACACACTCTCTCTCTCCCTGTGTGTGTGTGTGTTCAGGAGGTGTACACGAATCTGTTGGGTCGCCGTACGCTGCTGCACCCCAACATCACGGCCGCCCTCGTCCCCAAGTACGTGTCGGCTGACGAGTGGCTCGTTGACAGAGAGGAGCAGCTCTTCGCACCAGAAGACGGCAAACGAAAGAACGCACTCATCAAGTCAGCCACCCACCCACCCACACACTCATCCACACACTTGTAAGTATCTTCTCTGGGTGTCTGTGTGGCTGCTCTGCTGCACCCAACCAGGAGTGCCGAAGCCGAGGTCATCTGCTGCACCAGAAGGAAGATCCTCGCGAGGCTGCCTCTGGTGCAGACGGATGCGACAGAAGGTGCGGGCGGCGACCACCGGGATGATGAAACCGGCCCACAAGTGGATGAGAGTGTGTTGTGGGAGGTGGTGGGCGAGCTGCTGAGGGTGTGTGGGTTTTCTCCGCGGGAGTGCCTGGCGGCCGCCATACGGCGCGTGCAGGCTGACGAGTTTGAGAAGCTCGAGCTGCGCCACTTCCGGTGGAAGGACTTTGGCCTTTGATCGACGTCACATCGAGTGTTGTGGGGTGGGTGGATATGTGTGTGGCTTGTGAAACCAAGATGGGTGGACGGACACGCTTGTGGCTTGTGTTGACTCCGACCTCTTATGTAAAGATCGATCGATGGATGCGAATCGAATCAATCCGCACTGTCTGTCACCTTTCCACACAATTAAAGAGTCCACACCAGGGAAAGAAAGAAGCCTCGGTCACAGCTAGCGCACCAAGACATAGCGAGCGTCCAAGTACTCAAGCACTGCCACACACCCCATGCCTCGGCCACGCTCCTACACACGTCTTACAGCAAAGAAAGAACCATCCAGTGCACCAACAATGAAGAAGCAAAAGAGACGTCACTTACACTTGCGTAATGAGGCCCCTGATCGCCATCAGACAACGACCGCGGCACTCACAGATAGATCCGGCATATAGCATCGACGGCGAATCCATGCGATGTCTCACGTAATCGACCTTCCTCTCCGTTCAGTTGAGCTGCTCAGCAGGTCATAGGCAGCGATGGAAGACCAATATAAGACCGACCGCGATATAAAAAGCAGGCAGCGATAGCCCTTCCTGGCGCACGGAGAGACACATACACACTCATCTTTCGTCTCCTTCTGCCTGCTCTTTTCTCGAGCACAGACACTTGCTGACATAACGCGCTCACCCTGCTGCTGGTCGGCTGCTGGCGCTGTTGGTGATGATGTCGGTGCTTCTGCAGGAGCACTGCCAGCCAGTGTGCTGGTGCCCTGCACGAACGAACCAACACAGAGTAGGTCACTAGCAATGCTCCGCCTCTTCAGTCTCTCTTAGAGCGACGAGGGCCGCCTGCAGACAGACAGACAGACAGACAGGCAAGAGAGCCATCTCCTGTCGCACCATTGCCCGCCACCTATGCCCTCCCTCACTCACGAAGTCATCTTTCATCTTGTTGTACTGTTTGAAGGCCTCCACCAAATTCCCATCCGCAGATGCCTTTCTGAACTGCACGCAAGAAAGGCCAACCAACTGATTTGACAGAATTCTCCGATCAGTCTCCGCCTCTCCAGTGGACGGACTTTCCAGTGAATGTGCACACACAGTCAAACAAACCCATTAATAACCTGTTGTGAATAATCATTGGGTTCCTCGCATCAAATTGAGCGGTTCTGTACCATTCCCGGTCGTGTAGAGGTAGTGGCGCTCCGCAACCTCTGCCGTGTTTTGAGCACTGACGCCACCTCGGTACCTGAATGGACACACAAATGAGATGTCAAATCAATGCGTCCTCCGCCTCACCGAGGCTCGTCTTGATGTCTGTGCCATCCAACAGGGGTAGCAGCGCATGCTGGAGTGCCTGGCCGGCCTGCGCAACAGATGAGTGGCCATGAAGTGGAGAGACACGCCTGGAAAACGCTGACCGACACGCACCTGATTATTGCAGATCTTGTCGATCTCGTCTACGAGGATGATGCCACTGCTCTGTGCCGCATCAATAGCTGCGCTTGCAATGGGGCCTTTCCCTGAGGGACATACAGTGTCACACCGTCATTGTGGTGGCCTGGGAAAAAAACAACATGCATCTGTGCAGGTCTTACTTCGGGCAGACGCGCCAGATGATGGTGAGGATGTCGATGAATACCCACAAAAAATAAAGGGGGCCCTTGGTGTGCGTCTGGCCGTCAGTCACCTCGGGGTAGTCCAACACACGGGGGATGACGCTCTCGAGCTGGAGCGTGACGTGCTCGTTGGTGCGGTGGTTGCAGGCGCTGAAGTGCAGAACATAGCCGAATATCTCGCTAAACCGTAGGAATCCCACAAAGCCATGCGGTGCATCATCGCTGCGGGTCGGCTTCTCATCTGGCTTCTCCTCGTGGTCCTTCTGTACCTATTTTATCAGCTTCGTGCAGCAACTTGCCTTTGGGAGGCACGGCGGCACGATGGCAGCAGCAGCTGGCGAAGAATTCAACAGCACAGCAGCTGGAAGGAATGCACAATGAGGGGTTGTGCGGTATGAATCACCCTCACACTTCTGCTCGTTTCCATTCCTGACAACAGAGTGAACGACACATTACTAGTGCTGTGCTCAGTGCTATGCTGATCTGTCCTCATTCGCTCACTCACCTCTTGTCAGGAGCACTGCCTACGCTATAGGCTCGGTCTATCGATGTTTTGTTGAGTAGATTTGCCAAAAGACCGAAGGTGCCGGCTGCAAGGACGTCCCAACTGAGGGAGCTGCGGCAGCTGCGGCAGCTGTGGTTGTGGCCGGAGGACCCCCGCCTCCACCCCCACCACCCCCACCCCCACCATCTCCACCCCCACCGTCTCCATCCGATGATGGAGGGCTTCCGTCCTGGCCGACTTGGGAGAAATCCACATCTATGCCCCTCGTATAAGTCTGCCACACCCGACGGAAAAGACGGTAATTCTTCGTAAAAAGGGATGGCTGGCGCCACCCCTGAGAAAACTCCTTCTTGTTCCCCAGAAAGATCCCCTTGATGACCAGGCCGCCGCCCATCGTAGCAGAGACGGTATACAGCATACAGAGACGCGAGCTATCTCGAAGGCCGAGGAGGCCAGAAGAGTGCGCCCTGTGTCGTCTGCGCGTGGGAGACAGGCAGACAGACATGATTTGTCCTATCGTCTCTGTCTGCATTCTGCCGAACCTGGACTGATGTCAGTCTTGAGCGGCAGCATCAGTCGAATCATGTCGTTGAAAATGTCGTTGCAGGAAATGGTTGAGAATCGAAAAATCAAATGAAGCGGAACGTGTCCCCGGCCAATTCATCCACGCGTACATGCGACTAAGCCACGTTGACAGTCGTATCACTTCACGTCCTCTGCAGATGAGTCGCCTCTACTCATCGACGGCACGTCCGTCTCACAGGAATTCTCCCGTCTATACATCACGATAATACAGCAGGTATTCTACATACGACTGGGCTACGTCGTAGACGGCCATCTGCACACACAGAGAGAGGGACATCGCGTCAATCACATCCCTGCTTGCGTGTGTCCGTGTCTGTGCTGCTCAGCTCACCTCGTGGTGGTGCAGTCGGATGGCCGTACTCCCCTCCCTCGCCAGCACGCTGTCGAAGCCGTGCGGTGCCGCCGGCGCATCGTTGCGGGTATTCCCGTGTGCGTCGAATAGGCGGCCGAGCGTCACGCGGCAGAGCAGCATGACCCTCAGACCGCCTCTGCCCGGCTGCGTAAACGCGTGCGCTGCATCGACACACACCAAGGTGAGTGAGTTCACTGGTGGGCACGACATACATCAATGAATGACTGCGCTGATGGTTGTCACGTGTTTCTCTCACCTTTTGCAGGCCTGGGTGGCAAAGTATGATGCGTGTCTCAGCATTCCGCTACTCATGGGTGGGTCGAGGCCGCCCCAAATCCCCTGCACACACGTACGGACACACACAAGTCGACGCATCACAGTGCATTGTTCATCGTGCCGTGGGACATGTAGTACTCATTAGTCGACGGATCTATGTCCGTGTCCTTTCTTACCCCTACAGCATTCGGTTTCAGAACATCGGAGCTCGTTGCGTACACCGACCGCGATATAAAATGCAGGCAACGATCGCCCTGTCTGCACCACGCCGGTGTGTTGAGGAGGGAGCCCTAAGGTGGCGGCAGTGGCCATGGCGGCGGTGCGTATGGGAGTGCGGCGCAGGAGGTCGCTGATGTGCGCCACCATCGCGGCCGTCACGTCCTCCAGGACGTACCCTGGCCCCTGCAGGGCGGGGGGAGCGGCAGCAACGCCATTGACAGCCACAACGGCGACCATCTGATGAAATGAGCAAGGAGAAGACGCTCATTTCGGCAAAGAGGCATTTGAGGATTGAACCTACATGGATCTGTCGCTGTCGTCGGGCGCCAGCAGCAGCACCACCAGCGGCAGCGGGGGCTGGGGCAGCTTGAGCAGCAGGTGGGGCGGGGGCAGCCTGGGGGAGGGCACCTGCAGAGTGAGACATCGAACATGAAGTTCCATCCGTGTGTATGCGTGCAACGGGGGCTTCATATCATGTGATGGATGCGTACACTCTCGTATGATGGTGTCGGTCTCGAGGTATATCTCGTAGCGATGGCCTGTCGTGTTGTATTGCCTGAGGAAGGAGAAACAGACAGTGTGTTGCATGGCGCGTCCACGTCTCTGTCCATAATCGTGTTGACTTGTTTTTGTGTTTGACGGTGAAGTCGGCTAGGCAGTATTTCTGTCAACAGCACACAGACCAATAAAGAAATACAAGGCCTCCTGTGTGTCCGTGAATGTCGCCATCTTACTTTGTCCTTGGCCATCTTGTTGTAGTGTGCGGTGGCGGCCTGCCCGAAGGCGCACACCTTTTATTTCCTCCTGACATCAGCACACAAGTCATGAATGCGACACACACATCGAATGGTCATCAGCGCTTTCTGTGCTCACCTGCCCTTGTCTTAGTGTAGAGAAAAACATGCTGCTGCCGTTGCTGCAGGTGCCCAGCTGCGATCTGGACAGTGAGACACATCAGGTGATAGAGAAGGAATGAAATGGCGGCCGCAAGCCCTCGCTGCATCCCATCCTGTGCTTGCAGGCACTCACATTGACGTCACCGTGGCCTCAATGACCTGCATCGCCGACCGCCCGACCCGCAGGTCGGCGAGCAGCATGGGCTGCCGCTCAGCGGCGGTGGCGTGCAGGTGCCTGCCAGGCCTGAGCACACACATACACATCATACATGTGTGCATGCATGCAATGGAATCCTACCCGTCGCCTCGGACATGGACGTTTTTGATGACTATGCAGTCCCCCTTATCGATGTCCTTGGCCGCCGGCAGGTCGGTGGCTATGAGGCGGTGCGACTCCCGTCGTGTACTTTACAGCTACAGTTGCATGCATAATGCATGCCGTCATACATCATCTGTCAGCTATTGGCAATGCACACATGCAGATAACTCTCGTGGATTGCTTACTTGAGCTCAGCGGGGGTCTTGTTGATGATCTTTGCCACCCGCAGCTTCTTGGACTCCCTCCCTTGCCCCGTGAGCAACCCAACTATGTCCAATGGCGTTGCCGTCGCCATTGACTGTCTCCTCCTCTCCTGCAGGGCCCTGTCGGCTCCTGTCGACGTCTCTGCGCAGGCGATTGAGCAGCGATTGAGCAGCTCTGAATGAGCAGCTCTTGTTGTGTGGGCTGTCAATTTTCGGCCAGCGCCGCCTCTGTCTTCTGCGGCTCCTCTGCCTATAAACCAATAACGAAAGCGTCACAGACTGACAAGTTGTTCTCAGACCGCGATAAAGACGAGTGAGCAGCTCTGAATGAGCAGCTTAATTGTGTGGGCTCGCTCTCTGCAGCGGTGAACAATCCCGAGGCTCTTGATTTCTTGACGGTGTGAATCGTTACCTGATGGCTCCTTGCAGTGTGAACGTCCTCGGTTTCCTCGCTTCACATGATCGCTGGCCTCCTCCTCGATTTCGGTGTTGCCGTCGAAGGGCAGGACATTTTGGATGGGGCCGGGGATGGGAGTGTTCTTGGGCTGGATGCTGCAGGGGGAGTGGCCGGCCTCAGAAGCCGCCGTGGAAGTGCTGTCCGCTAGTGCCGTATATGAAGATGGAGATAACCAGGAAAATAATCGGCAGCCAGAGGGAGAAGGAGGAGAGCCTCGCCGCGGAGAATGGAGGATTTGGAGAGCGGCGGATCCTATTTCGTTCCACGTGTTCTCCACAAGCATCGTCTCCGTCCCGTCTCGCCGAGAATTCATTTTTTGTGCGAGCTTTTTCTCGTCGAGCGGTTTCACGGAGTTCTTCTTCTCGTCCACCGCGTCTGCCAGTCGTCTGCCCGATTCATCCATCAGTAGAGCGAGATCTCTGATGGGTAAGCAGCAGCGGCAGCGTCGTCGTGCCGGCAAGGGAGCCCATCAGCCGATGGTCACGGGTCAGGACCTGCGGGAGGCGGCCGAGCAGCATGCCATGCAGGAGATCATGACCAAAGGGCACGACTGTTTTGACGAGACCATCGTCACAAAGGCAAGGCCATACAGCAAGCACAAGAGGTGGATGGATGGCTGTTAATGGCTGTCTGTGTGGTTCCATCAGCTGAACAGCACCGACTGGCGGACGCGAGAGCTGTCGTGCATCGCTCTCAGCAACATCCTCTCGGACCCATCGCCGGCCGCCCACTACTTCCTCAATCACACATCGGCACTGGGCATGCTCTTCCCGCTCCTCAAGGACAACACACAAGTGCGCCTCGGCGCCCTGCAGGTGCGTTGCGTTATTTTGGTGCGGACCGGACAGGAGTGCAACCGTGGTTATACCTGTGTGTGTGAGTGTGTGTGTGTGTGTGTGCAGGTGATCCGTGGTGTGACGTCATGGGCGCCAGAAAAGGTGACACGCCAGCTGGTGGAGCACTTCAACATCGTTGACAGCCTCATCGACGCCATGAATGAGGTGCACTGCCATTCACAGAGAGAGTTCCCTACATCAGGCAGACAAATGCCATTCATTTTCACTCTCTCTCCGTCCGTTGATCATCAGAGCTTGGGTCAGGTGAAGCACGATGGCGTGGTGGTCGTTGCGGCAGACACCATGGCGGCGCACTCACTGGCCATCGACCACATACTCAACACACTCAGACACCTGTGGTAACCACACACACCTGACGACACGCAAGATGTGGCTCTCTCCATGTCGGTTGCTGATTGCTGGCTGTAGTCGTCAGTTCGCCGAGGTGACGAGCCGCATATCGTCGGCTGAGGGCGGGCAGCAACTGCTGAAGAACGTCACACAGCTGGCCACTGGTAAGCTGTGCTGAGCTGAGCAAGGCACCCACTCACACATAAGCACGCCCCTCCCTTCCTTCCCCCCTGAGTCGATTGCAGGTGATGGTTCCTATTGTGTGGAGGCCCTCGTGATGGGCTCCGCGGCCGGCCTGCTGCTGGTGGTCACTGACGACAACCCACAGGCGGTGAGTCGACATGTCTGGTGCAGCCAGGGGGGAGGGAGGGTTGAGGGATGCCCTTGTGTGTGTGTGTGTGTGTGTGTATGTGTCGATTAGGCATCGGCCATCGGCAGTGAGGGCATTCGGTCGATCGAGGAGTGCATCGTGCGGCTGCAGCAGCAGCAGCAGACCACGCCCGACACAAGCATGTTGCACGCTGTGCAGCTGACAGGTAGAGATGTCCTTGGTTCATTCAGACATTCCACACACACATCTCCCTGTCTGTCTGCAGGTGCCCTATACAATCTCTCAGGCGCCCATGCCCTCAGCAACACCACGATGCAGCTGCTGTTTGGTTCCCTGTCTGTCGACCCCTTTGTGTTGCTGCAGCCCCTGCTGAGTGCTGCCACGGCAGCCCCTGCTGACAAGGGCAGCAAAGGAGATAAGGCAGCTGTGGGTGGTGGTGCGGTTGGTGGTGGTGGTGGTGGTGAGGGTGAGGGGTTGGTGTTGCGCAAAGGGGAGAAGATGCAGGACGGCACCAGGGAGGGAAGGACCAAGGAAGTGGAAACGGTATACTCACACAGAGAGACACACGGAGAGAGAGGGGGAAACCACTGGCTGTCTGCGATGATATGGTGTGTAGGAGTGCGGCAAGTGGGCAGTGCAGGCGCAGGCAGTCAAGACGGCGCTCGAGATACTCGTCAACATCTCTGGTGAGCCGTGAGGGAGGGGGGCAACATCCGCACACAGAAACAGACAGCAGACACAACTGGTGGCGTATCTCTCTCTCTCTCTCTGTGCGAATGTCAGGAGACGCCCAGCCGACTGAGGGTGAGCATGACGGCGACGTGTCGATGGAGGGAGGCAACGACAGCACAGACCTGTCGCAGCAGATGGCGCAGTTCATCGAGTCGGACCAACACGTCGTCACGGAGGTCGGCCAACAGCACACAGATACTGTTACACGCTTCATGTGTCTGTGTGTGTCATGTCGTCAGCTGTGTGGTTCGTGTGTGCGGTGGTGCGACTCTCTGGATGCCCCCTGGCTGCGGGCCATCTGCACGCAGCACACGTATAGATCTACCGGAATGCACTCAATGGCTGATGGATGGATGGATGGATGCCTCATGTGCAGGGATTGGTGGGAGGAGCTGTCTGTGTGTTTGGAGACCCTCGCTACCGCACTGCAACTCACCGCTGCCCTCACGGCATCAGACAGAGGTGGGTAACAGCCCGCCGCGTTGTCCGCCATTCACATGGATGTGTGTGTGTGTGGGGCACTGATTGGTGCAGGGACCACCGGCCCTTCACTGTCGTGGTTTGTGGATGTGCCCCTCCGGTGTCTGTCGGGTGCCATGCGCTTCATCCACCTCACCGCACCGCACCACTTCAGCGCTCCCCCTGCTGATGCCGCAGACAACCAGACAGACATGACGGACACAGAGGCACAGCCGGCCAGGTGAATCCGCACACACACCGTCCATGTGTGTGTCGATATCGTATGTGTGCGTGCGTGTGTGTGTGTGTGTGCAGCAGTAGTGCGGCCGACGAGACGGCAGAGGGGGTGCGAGTGCCGCCGTGTGGGCAGATGGCCATCATCGCTCTCATGGAAGCCGCCACACACGTACCCATGGAACAACACAAACCTGCAGCCACCATGTGAGTGCCATGTGTGTGTCAATGTCATCCACACTATCAGCTGACGATGCGCGCAGCCAAGAAGGCCACCTCCCTCCTGCCGACGACACAAGCCCAGCCACAGCCACAGCAGCCCCAGATGGACGCCCACGAAGCCGATGAGTTGCGTCAGTTGCTGGACCGTTTGTTCGAGTGGTTCATATCGCCGCGCGAGCCGTTCGTGTCGAGGGCGAGAGAGCGGTCCCATGACGGCAGCAGCGAAGACGTCAGCTCCATGTGGAAGAACGCTCAAGTGCAGGTCAGCTGGTTTGGTTGGTGTGGCAGTCTCGTCTCACGCAATATTTAGCTGTCTGTGTGGGTATCTCTCTCTGTGTGCGTCTGTGTTGTGTTGTGTAGGGGTCTGCGTGTTTTGGTGTGGTCAACGTTCTGCTCAACGCGGCCAACGTCACCCACCCCAACAGGGCACTCAGACAGGCATGGATAGCAGACGGATACACACGCCAAGGAGATTCATCTCTGTGTGTCGGCCACTGGTTCGTTTATTCAGCGGTTTCTGTGGATTGTGTTGGAGTGTGCGGCCGACAGCAAGACGCCCACACTCGTCCTCGTTGAACTCCTCGATGCGCTCTTCGACGTCTTTGCTGGTCAGTGTGCTGGGGCATCCACACACACGAATCGCCATGCATCGGTGCGTGTGTGTGCGTGTGGTCAGAGGATGACAGCAACGATCTGCTCCGTGACGCGGATGCACTCAAGACCCTCGGCAAACTCAAGGGGCCACTCAAGAGAGCGGTCAGCACACACACACACACACACACACACACACATCAGCAGATCTGCATGGCCATTGATGCGTGCAGGTGCGGGGCAGGTCAGTGGCATTTGACGAGTCGAGTGTGTGTCGTGTGGAGGAGGTGGCCGACAACCTTGAGGCATTCATCGACTACAAGAGACAACACAACACATAGACAGACAGACAGACAGACAGACAGACATGAGATGTGACCTTATCACTGCAGGAGAGATGAGAGTTGTCTGCACGTGACGCATTGTGCATTGAATCAGATCTGATTCGTCCGTTCATCCATCCACCCGTCCATTGCGTGAAAGACAATTCACCATGGCGATATTCATTCATCCTGGTTGGTACTGGACATACGGATGAGGTGGATGCGCTCAGCATTCAAAAAATCTCCCCCCTCGCCGATCTGCGAGCTTGGACGAATCTCTTCCCCTGGGAACGGCCCTTCCTCTTCGTCGCCAGGGATGTCAGAGAGCGCCAGCAACGGGCTGAATCCGCCCGTGCAGGTGCAGGTCCACCCACTGCCTGTCAGGCTGCTCAAGGTCACTCACCTGACACACAAACCCACGCCACGCAACCATGAGCTGACGCTGATCTGATGAGATCTGTGTTGCCTGCAGGTGCCCAAGGCTGTGGCAGATCGGTGGAACCAGGCGCAGCCCTCAGAGATCCTCGGACACATTGTCAGGGAACGGAAAATGGTGCGATTGACACACACACAAACATCCACACAACCGGCAATACACATCATCGTGTGTTGTGTATGTGTGTGTTGTGTGCGCGTTGCTGCTGGCAGGAGCGTCTGGTGCTTCCGCACACGCCCGCCAGCAGCAGCATGGGGGTGGACGGGTCGTCGATACGGCAGTACAAGGTGCAGAGCAAACCCACCGAGGGCGTCTACGTCAAGGGAATCGCCACACAGGTCGCTCAGCAACACCAGCCGCACAGCAAAGAGCACAGACAGACAGGTAGAGGAATGCACTGATTTGTGTAGGGTGGCGAGGCCGTGATGAGTCTGGAGGGTGAGGTGCAAACCACGTCGACCCTTGTGCCCTTCAGTGATGACCTCGCCGCACAACAGGTAGGTCCAGACACACAGGGGAGGTCAGGTCGGACGGATGGCATCACTTGTGAGCCCTGTGTGTGTATCTGTGTCTGCCAGAAACTGAAAAAGAGGGTACAGCTGGCACAACCTGGTCAGTAGGCCCATGCACACACCGACTCACACACACGTGTGCCTGTCTCGATGTGTCGGTGTGTCTGTGTGTCGGTGTGTCTGTGTGTGGATGTGATGTGTGCATCAGAGCGTCGCGTGCAGACCATCGAGACCAACCCCAATGAGCGGACGTCGGGTGTCCACCAACCCAGGGTCAGTCGGGGAATGACTGATTCGAACACACACACACACTTGATGCCCCCTGTGTATGTGTGTATGTGTGTATGTGTGTGTGTGTGTGTGTGTGTGTGAACGGTCAGTTGTTCAGCTACTACAAGCCGGATGTGGCCATCAGGGCAGGAGGCCCTGGAGGCGACGGTACGGCCGCGAAATGCACCCATCTGTCGATTGCTCTCACCTACTTGGCCACCCGCCCTGCCCTTCTATGTGTGTGTGTGCAGACGACGACAGTTCGGATGAGGGCCGCCCCGCCCCCGCCAGGGCTGCAGTCGCACAGCAGGCCTCCAGGAAACCTCCATGTGCGTACGCCACGCAGCAACCCACACACCCGCACTCGCACACCACACCACATGAGGTTTCTTCTATCCATGTGTCGTGTTCGGCAGCCAAGCAGCGTGACCCGCCGATGGACCCCGACAAGTTGAAGGATGTGTTGTTCCGCCTGTTCGAGTCGCAGGATGCGTGGAATATCAAGGACCTCGTCGGCCGCACCAACCAGCCACACGTACGCTGCGCTTGTGTGGCTGTGTCTGTCTGTGGGGCGGTGTGAGGTACGGCGCGGCGCGTCATGCGTGTGTGCGTGTGTGTGTGTTTGTTTGTTTGTTTGTGTGTTTGTGTTTGTGTGTGGCAGACGCACCTGAAGAGTGTGGTGGAGCTGATCGCCGACAATGACAAGTAAGCCAGCCAGACAGAGGGTGATTGATGAGCAGTGACAGATGGATGTGGTGTGTACATGTATCGGCTCTCAGGCAGCCTGGGGACAAGAAGCAGTACTATCGTCTCAAACCGGAGTTCTCCACAGGTGCACAGCACACCACACCTGTCAGTCAACACAGACAGCTTCTGAGTGAGTGTGTCTGTATGGCGGGTGTGTGGTGTTCTGTTGTGACACGTTGTGGTCAGCTCATCCGGCCAAGAGGGTGCGATACGAATGAGTCATACGAAAGACAGACAGACTCACCCGCCGGCCGGCCGGTGTGTGCATGTACATATACATATGGATCGCATCGCATAGGTCGAGAGGCATCTTGGAAGGTGAACAATCCTGCGATGGGTGCTCGTTTTGTTTGTTTCCGTATATACGTTATGCGCGAGTGTCTATCTGCGCGGTGAGGTGGGGACACCACGCTCGAGATGGTAGCTTAGCTGCACCGGGGTTTCACAGCAGATAATTAATTGCCACACACACCGTCACACATGGCGCTCATACATCCGAGACAGAACCGATTCCCAGGACAGCCGGCAGCCATGAACGCAGGCACTTGCACAACACACACACAGCGGCCTAGCGGTAGCTGGTCCGTCCATCCACACACACGTGCGCAAAAAGCATCCACCGGGGGATGAATTGGTTGGCCAACACGCACCTGGATGGATATGTCCAGTACGCACACCGACAGACAGGGACGAAAAATACATCCAGGCCACGCTATTGGTGGCCTCACACATTCGCTACAACCGGTGGCAACACGCTGTCTGTCTACCCGCGTGCCGGTCCCTACCCATGTCTACCGTACTAATTAGACCACTGTTATCTACTCAGCAGACAGACAGACACACAAGAGGGTCGAGATAAAGACCCACATCCACACACAATCCATAAATAAATGCAGTCAGAACAGGCAGATGGGCCGGCATGCGAGGGACCACGGTTCGTGTGCCTATGCATGAGCGGTCAGTCAGCCACACTTTCATCTGTCTGTGTACCTATGCCTTTGTACACACACCCAATCTCCCTCTCCCTCTCCTTCCCCTGCTGTCAAGCTTGTGCGCTTCAGTTGATCAGTGGACCACCCCTTGCGCTGCAGGGAGGAGCATGGCGAGACACGGCAGGAGCAGCACCAACGGGAGCAGCATGGCTGAGGAACGAGCGGACGACTCGTCACTAGGCACACACAGATAGATGGCCCTTAGTGCTCAACCACACATACAATGTCTCGCCACGTGGGAGTACTTACTTTGGCTGGCAGTACTTACTCCCGGCCAGAAGGTAGAATCCCGCTTCGCACTCGCAGTGGTGGATGGACGTCGCTCCTGTGGTGTTGGTCGTCGAGCGGGCTCGGCAGGCCGTGTAGTTCGCCGAGCCCTCTCTGTATACTCTGTAGAAGCCTATCGCGCACTCGCATGCCGTCTCCGCCGCTGCGGGCTGGACCGACCCCGCGGGACACGAGTCACACGCTGAGACATTCATGCGGTCGTTGAAGGTGTTGGCCGAGCAGTTTTGGCACTCCAACCCTGCAAGCAGACCGACAGATGACAAACCAAGGGGAGACACGAGCCGTCGATACAGTGTGTTTCTATCTGCAGCTATAACAGAAGAGTCGACACTTCTCAGCTGTACGTACCGTTGTTAAACGTGCCAGGGGGGCAGCCCTCAAACCTCGATTGGAAGCTCGGCAAGGGGATCTGGATGGGCACCTCTGCGACGGTCTCAGGTGCCACGACCTTCAAGTCGTCGAAGCTGGTGGTCCCTGGGAACTGCTGGAGCGTGATGAAGTCGCCGTTCAGTCGGTTATCCTTGTCGAACCACATGTTGGTGTCCCAGAAGGTGTCGAAGCTGTTGTTCTAAAGCGCCGCCTTGATGGCCGCCCGGTTCGTGTCCATGTCGGGACTCCACTCGGTCAACATTGAAATGGCAATCGCCAGCAGATGCGCTGATGAATGAAGGTGCAAACACGCACAAATAAACATGTCATCCCTTCGCCCGCTGCCCGCTGGGGATGGATGGATGGGTGGGTGGCTTGCCTACCTGCGTGGAGGTGCTGATTGACCATCCTATCGTAGTCGGTGGTGCGGTTGGGCCAGGCGTTGTAATCGGCGATCAGGTCGCTGCTCCAAACGTCGAGGAAGGCATCGTAACAGTTGACCTTGGACGTCCACTCGGCATTTGTGAGGAGAAAATCCGTCAGATTGTGGGCGCCATACTGGTAGTAGGTGTCGGCTGTCGCGATTTGAGCGTCACGGAACCTACACCAAGCAACAAACACACCAACCAACACCAGCAGAAGCCGACGTATGCAGCTGTGTGTCCAGCAACAGAGTTCTTTAAGTAACGCTTTCATTTGATCCAGTCAGTGGTCGTACGTACCAGCCCTGACCACACACACACACGCACAGAGAAAGAGAAAGGGGTTGTGTCGTCGTGTGCAGATAGAGAGACACTACTGACTGAAACATCACACGTCACACGGATCCCTCCCTCCCTTCTCCTGGCCTGACTCGCTATCTGATTGACTGACAGACTGACTGACTGATTAATTGATCGACTGGCCTTCAGGTCGACGCCCTTGTCGATGAGAATCTGGTTGAATTCATTCTCGACGTCCATATTCATCTTATCATAATTGTCAGGCCCCAAGGTCAATGAATCGGCAAAACCATGATGGAAGAGAACCTCGATGCCGGTATCTTTGAGGCCCTGGGCAAAGTCCTCTCCAAGATGATTGTTCCCAAGCAATTTGGGCCCGTAGGTCTTGTTTGTTCCCGGGTTGAGCGGATCTTGATGCTCGAATGTCCAGTTGCCGTATGTATCGTTTATCGCCTCATCGGCCGCATAGCCCAGTGCTATAAGGGGGAGATTGTTGGCTGGGTCACCGGGTATGTCCATAAGCAGCGTGAGCGTCATGTTCTCTCTCCGGATGGCGTCTATGATCAGATCAGCGTACGGACGCCAGTACGGATTGCTGGAGCTTATCACTGCACACTTGGTGTAGCCGCGTGTCTTGAAGGGCGAGAGGATGCCCTGACCGACTTCAGGAGGTAAGGGATATTTGTCAAACACGAATGAATCCGCTGAGACGGCGTCGAGCGACCAACCCACGACATGCAGGAGGTTCTTGTGCTGCGCAAGAGGGAGTATAACATCGGGAAGGAGTCCATAGCTTATCAGCGCAATAGGTGTCGTTGGTCAGGGCATCCATCTGCTCCGCGGTCCAGCCAGAGCGATCATATTCAATGATGTCTCGTTCGAGGCGAATCGTCGTATTCCCCGCCGTGAGCCGTTTGCCATTCCAGTGGCCGCTGTTGAGGCGCTCAGAATAGTAGTCGAAGGCTGGGAAGATGTTCTGCTGGGGCCATGGAGCCCATATTGCGTAGGTGAGAATCGCATACTTGATGTCACCTCCGCTGGCTGGCCGCGAATTGCAGGCGGCTGCGCGACGAGAAACAAAGAGAGCAGCAGCAGTGGGAGCATGGCTGAAGGGCGAGAGGACGGAAAGAACGGGGGGCTCATCGCTTCCTCCGACTCGAAAGTGGGCTTGCACGTACAGGGCCAGCAACGACTCAAAAGGAATTGAGCTCGCTCCAGGCCCCCACACAGCCCCCACCATCTCGGGAAAATGAGGTGAGAAGAAGCTTCCTCTCTACGAATGGAGGCTCATGTGCTTTGCATGGCTACAGGCTGGGCGACTTGGGCGGTGCCAATGCGGCAGATTTCGATGACGACGAAGAGGTATGCACGCTGATCATATCTTCGACGACGAATATCATCGTGTGTCACTGGCTGCTTTTGCAGGCGGCAGAACAGAAAGGCGTTGGTAAGTGGGCTCCTAACTGACGCCATTCCACCACAGCAATGTGTTTTGCTGTTTTCCAGCTGATGAGCTGAATCCCCTGCTGTTAGAGGCGTGTCGCCGCAACGACACGGAAGAGGCCATCCAGCTCATAGAGAAGGGCGCACATGTGGACTACGAGGTGAGCGAGAGGGAGATGGATACATAGAAACACGGATGCCTACTTTGTCTGCCGTCTGTCTTTATGTGTGCATGGGTGTGCAGGACTCAAAGCAGTGGTCCGCGTTGACATGGGCGGCCTGCAACGGCAATGTCTCTCTCACCCGTCACCTCCTCTCTTGTGGGGCGGCGGACATCTACCGCGACAAATCGAGAGGAGACAGAGACGACCTGATCGCTCAAGCCACCCTGCCAACCACGCCGGGCATTGCAGCGTCCCAAGGGCCCAGAGAGGGCCACGCAGGGGGCGCACGGGCATCAGACACCAAGATGGGGGCTGCAGGCAGGTCGGCCACCAGGGTCGCTGAAGGAGGCGATGACAGGACACACCACAAGAGACCCAGAAGGAAACATACGCCGCTGTAAGTGCGTGAGGCGCAGTCTGGAATATTGGGAGGATATGGGCGCTTTTGTGATGCTGCCTGCTGCTGCTGCGGCAGGCATTGGGCTGCATTCAAGGGTCATTTGCGCGTCCTGTGGCTGCTGCTGCGAGCCAATCTTGACGTCTCGACACGAGACGCTCTTGGCAACACCGTCCTTCACTCAGGTGAGCGAGGAGAGACTCGCTCACTGCTTTGACATGACATTATCTCTCCATCCTCCTGCACATGCAGCTGCGGCGGGCGGAGATTTGACGACGGTCAAGTGTGTCCTCTCGCAGGGGATCGACATATCCTGCAAGAACGACAGAGGACACAAGGCCCTCGAACTGGCCACGGTAGGTGGGTGCACACAAATGACTGATTGCGTGGCCGGCTGTTGACATGTCTGTCTCCCTCACTGCCGGCTGCAGGCGCCGGCAGTCAAGTCCTTGCTGGAGCGGGCCATGGCCACATTGTCGTGCAAAATCACTCACAAGCAGTTCTCATACAAGGTGGCTGAATCCAGGGCACGGTTCTCTCTCTTTCATGTGTTTCCTTTGCTCTCTGTCTCTGTCTGTCTGTCTGTCTGCTTGCCCATCCAGGTGCTTCGCTTCATGTGCAGCTGGACGGAGGAATTCTTCAGCGAGGAGGCCGTCATCAAGACATACGCACATGCAGAGGTCGACTCGCAGGACAAGGAGAAACCCGTCACCTGGTAGGATACACAAATGGCCTCTGACCAACCTCTCCTTCTTGACATCGTCTTTCCTCCTTTCGCGAGCCAAGGTCTCAGCCTGTCAAGAGCACCATCCAGGAGGCCGAGCACCAGCTGTCCAACGCCTACCAGCTCAACGTGGAGGCGCCGCACCAGCTGTCGTCCATCAAGCAGGCTCTCGAGGGCGCCAAGGACAAACCTGTGGACGTCAAGCTCTACGACCAGTGCATCAGGATGAAGGCCAAACTGGAGAGCGAAATCGCCCTCAGCAAGGCCATGGACCTCCCTGTAAGGGTGGCAGTGAGGTGTATGTCTGCATCTCGTGCGATATGCGTGTGTATGCTGCCGTCTGCAGGCCATCGAGGATGTGGAGACATTCTTCGGCGCCATGGCGACGCTCAAGGAGGCACAAACAGAAGCCCTCAAACATGTAGGCATCCATATGCCAATGAAGCTCTTATATGACTCCCTTCCTGCTCGTGGCTGGCCACACACAGGAGGCCGACTCCCACTTGCTGAGTCGTGCGACGGCTCTCGTGCGGCGTCTCAAGGCGGAGTGCGACCTCACAAGGACCCTTGGCAAGAAGACCTCCCTCCCAGCTGCGGCATCCACGGCAGCATTCAGGCCGTCCGATTCATTCATGCGGTAGGCCAAAAAGCTGAGTGAGTGTCTGCCTGTCTGCCTGCGTGTCATGTACCTACCGTCTTGGTGTTCCCGCAGGGTGCTTGAGGAGCAGCTCAAAGTGGCCAAGGAAGAGCAGGCCACAGACGCACTGCTGCAACGCGCAGACCGACTTCTCGGCACTCTAAGATCCCAGAAGTGAGCATTCACTCTCCTCCCATGCCAATGGCTCATGTCTCATTCCTCCCTGAGGGTTTGCTCTGTACATTTGTGTGTCTGTCTGTGTCCTTAGGTCACTGCATGGTCGTGTGGTCGAGGTGGCCCCTGCGTGTGCGTTGAAGTCGCTGCTGGGCGAGGAGGGCATCCCTGACTATGTGGCCGCGACCCTGCCGTCATGGCACGCCAACTCGGAGGCCTTTGAGGCATACCTCGAGGAATACAGGGTGAGTCAGTCACCTGACTCAGACCACACGAAGCGAGACACGAATCAAGACCCGCATGAATGGGTGTTTGCTTGTCTGGGGTGTGTGTGTGTGCGTGTGTGTGTGTGCAGAAGAATGTGTCCGAGGCGGAGCACTATGACGTCCCGCCTCAGCTGCTGGAGCAGGCAAAGTCAGTGAGCGGACGCATCGCATTGCATTCATTGTGGACAGACAGAGAAACCGCTGATTGATTCGCTGTGTGAATATAATGGCTGACCTCCCTCTCTCTTTCTTTGTGTTCTAGTGCAGGTCCCAGTTGGGCATTCTTGAAACCCAGTTGGTTGAGAAGAAGCAGCTGGAGGAAGAGACACGACTCAAGGCCGAAAAGAAAAAGAAGAAAAAGTGACACACACGGACTCAGCCGCTCACTCACCAACCAACCTGGGTGGCTGGCCGGGGTGTGGTGTGGTGTGGCGGGGTGGTGGGTGGAGGGCGGGCACTTGGCTGGCTCGTGTGTTGTCTTATGCCTGCCTGTGGGGATGGATGGATCAGTCAATGCATTGCTGGCAAGAGAGAATTGTGTGTGCAGACTGCACTGCTTGCTGTCCATGCCATGGATGGTGGTCAGATTCGTTGAATGAATGGTGAATGATGTCTATGAGCATCCGTCCAGTCCATCGATATCACGTGATTGATACCAACGTCTGTGTGGGTGGATGTGTGGATGTGCGTGTGTTTGGGTGTGTCCCATCGCCCCGACCCCCGGTGCGCCTCAACCAAGGGCACGCATGGCATGCATACGCCCCGCCCGCAGCAAAGCCTAGCTAGCGGCGACACACACACACACACATACACACACGTGCACAGCACAGCACTCGCACACTGATATATGTGTATATGTATGTGTGTGTACTGTATATGCAGTGCGTTTGTGCTGTGTTCTTTCCTTTCTCCCTAATGAGATGAGAAGGCATGTAGCCACGCAGGCAGGCAGGCAGGCAGGGCAAGAACACGGACACGCATCCACATACGCACTTAATCAAAAGAATGAATCGATCTTCAACAAAACCGGTCTTGTTGAAAAACAATAATCCCACACATCCACCCCACCAACTTGCCTGCCGGCCGTTCGCTCTACGGCGGCACAGGCAGACCGCCCCAGCACAAACACACAATAGTGAAATGCATGCACATACGGACGCACCCGTGGCAGGTGCGTGTTCTGATATTGTTGTGTCAGTTGGATCATAGGCAGCAGTGGAGAGCACTCAGCGCGTTGCAACAAATGGTCATCACCATGGGCTTAATAAAAATCAGCGGGGAGACAGACAGACAGACAGACATTTACCACACAGACAGACAGCTAGCGCCGGTCAAATTGAAACCATCTCCTCCCTCGTATCACCTCACCTCATCTCATCTCTTCCGTCCTTTCCTTCCTTCCTTTCTCCCCTCCTCACCCCTCACGCGAAAAATCCAATCAACACACAGACGCTCTGGTGGAAAAAGTCCATTCACTCATTCACTCATGCGTACACACCCCTTGTGCGTGTGGCTATATGTGCCCATACATACATACATACAGACGCATATGTGAGCGTGTGACACCTTCCTTCCCTCCCTCCCTCCCTCCCTCGCTGTCTATGGTCCGGAGGCATAGCACCAGTGGAAGAAGGCCGTCACGGTCAGCAAAGGCAGGAGCGTGAAGGGCACCAGCCACAAATACACCCCAGAGGGGTTGAACCCCACCTTCCGCGCCATCACCACGTGTGTGTTGGCCGGGGGAGAGCAAAACTCAATCTACACTCAACAAACAGAGACAACACAAACGCGGGTTTCCTTTTCCTTTCCCCTCTCTGTGTGTGTGTGTCTATGTGTGTGTCTGCGTACCAGTACGATAAGCCGCACATAAGTGGACGGCGGCAATACAGAGAAGATGGATCTCGTGTGGGGCGGCAGCGGGGCCGGCGTATGTACGTGTGGTGCGCTGGCGGCGGTGGGGCGTATGTCGAGGTGGGGCGTCTCGAGTGCGGCCGGGTAGGTCAGGCCAGCCAGGTGGTCGAGTGTGTAGAAGGAGAGGATGGCCGCTGAGGGGATGAGGATGATCTTGACGGCCAACAGAGCGATCAATGCATGCCTGGCAAAAGAGAAACACACACACAATGGTGTGTGTGGTGTGTGTGGGTCATGTGTTGGCGGCTGACCATGGGAAGTTGCTGAATGAACTGGATGTGTCCGACGAGCGGGGCGAATGGCGATCCCGAAAACTCTGCAGGCCCACAGAAAAGGACGGTGAAATGGGGCGTGTGTGTGTTGTGTGGAGGAATGCGATGCGGAGTCAGATTGTCGTGTCCTTACGTGTGCGAGGGATGCGCCCATGACGAGTACACTCACACACGTGGCCGGCTCACCGTAGAATTCTAACGCCTTACCCAACACCCTGTATCATATACAAGACACACAGAATGTGCCTCAGTGTCTCCCATGTGTGTGGTGGGTCGGTAGGTCAATTCCTCACTTGAATCTGCCGGTGTCTCCGTAGAGCTGTGTCTTGAATGCGGGCCAGAGGCCGAACAGGATGCCGAGCCACGTCGACATCATCATCGGGTTGGTCAGCGGGCCCATCATACCCCACACCCACGCCACGCAACGACACACTGCACGGCACACAGAGACACACACAACAGAAAAAACACAAAACACAGATCAGGCGCCCCGTTGCTCCGTCTACTTGGTGTCTTCTCTCTCTCTGTCTGCTTACCCTGTGACCACCATTTCTTGACCGCGGCCCACGCCTTAAGGCCCCTGCCTGCCTCCGTCACCCTGCTATCGCTCTCGCTCCCCTCCCGTGTGGACGCCCTACTCCCCTCCCTCTCCCTCCCACCATTCGCCCCACCCTCAGCTGAAGGTGAGGCGCCCTCCCCCTCCGCCCCACAGTCGCTCTGCGCAGAGCCACACCTGGCCCTGTTGTGTCTCGACAGGGCCTCGAAGGCCGGCATGTTCTTGACTAGCCGCTCGCTCACCGCCGACCGCGGCAAACCCTTCTCGGCGTCGCTCAGCAGCGGTGTTTTCGTGCCGTCCGACCCGCGTCTCACGTGAAACGACTTGTTACGCATCGTTGCCAGCTTGTGGTCCTTGTTGTGGCCGTCGGGGCTCCTGAACCGCATGGCCTTGCGGCGTCTCTGTTTCGGGGAGGCCTTCTTGGTGGTCTTCTTGGGCTGCTGCGATGGCGTGGAGGCCTGCGAGTTCTCACTGGAGAGCGGCACGGCGGGGTCTCTCGAGGAGGGTGAGACAGCAGTGGATGCAGTGGGCCCGCTGCTGCAGCGGGTCATCTCTATCTCCGCCAGGCTGGCCATGGCGGCGAGGGCGGGGAGAGGGGGCGGTGGTGGGGGGGAAAGGGGG